CAAAAATATAATTGATAATTAAAGTAAATATTTTATTAAAATCATTTAGCACAGTTTTATTTTCTATGAAAGAATACAAGTATAACTCTCTTTTTTTATAATTTACATACATATTATTAGAATTGTCTAAAAACAGCATATGTTTTTGAATCATTCTATGAAACAACCAAGAAGACCATTTTGTAATCACAAGTGATTCAACACTATTGGTATAAAAGAATAACAGAACATCAAATTTGTTATACTTATCTACCAATACTAAATAGTATATAAAAATTGATGATGTAGAAAATGGATTCATTTTTTAGGTTGGAGATGCCCTTAGCACTCACTCTCAAATGTCCATTTATGATCCAATCAATTACAACTTAAGTTTGTACAGTTGCAGGACCCTGGTATAACAGTAATATTAACCGTAAACCACAAGAACAAGAACAATAAATTGTAAATGATACACACCCAATTGGTGGAGATAAGCATCAGTACGAATACGATTTTGATTCTCATCTCTGTCTCGAATGCGTGTGGGGGATATGTCTACATTGGACATCACGGAAATCACGGAATTTGATTCAAAATGAACTTCTATAGATTAAGAATTTAAGATCGACACATGTGCGCAATTGAATCTCAAAATATGGCATAGTAGCCCTTTTAAGATGACAAAAGTATGGCATGAAGAAAGGTAATTGGGTACTTAATCTCGCAATAAACAAAAAACTAAGACAGAAAATGAGAAAATCATGCCTTGACATAGTCTCAGATAAACTAGCATCTCTCAAGTATTAGTGGCCCTGGTGTAGATTTGTTGACTAGCATGAGCAGATACCATCCTGATTGCACCTCTTGCCATCAAATCCTTGATTGCCTTTCGTGCCAACGATCCATTGATCTTAAAAAGAACAAAGTTTAACCGAGAGTGAGATAGCTTACTAGTATGCTTAGAACAAAGGAAAAGTTAACTGCCTCAAGTAGCAGATGCTATAGATTCTTATGGATTGGATCCAAAATAATTCTTGGATGCAGTATTCATTCCAGTTATATGGGGCCTTCCCTGTTGTTTGCAAAGGGCTATGTCACAATGAACAACTACTACAATAGAGGACAAGAACATGGGATAATATCCTGCTATATATAAGTTATGACTTTTCCATCCAAATGAAACAAGTTCTTTTTGTTTTTCTACTTTTAAGTAAAATACTTGGATCCTTTATTGTGACTTTTCCATCATCATTCACTTTATGTTAACTCAAATGTGAACAAACTGAAAAGGAGCACACAAAACATTGCGTAAAAGATTGAGGACAGAATGTTACAGTACCCTTAATCTGTCTGATAAAATGGATGGAGTGATCAGCTTGAACTTTGGAGCTTCAGATAGAAGCTTATCATAAGTTGCCTTATCAAATAGAACCATGTTGTTCACCTTCTCCTTTTGCTTTCCTTTGCTCCACTTCTGAAAAACCAAATCACAAACAATCATAAGCTTTACTTAACTCTAAAGACAACTTAAATTCCCAATTATCATACAAGAATGCCCAATCTTCTTTTTTCTTTCCGTTTCCTTTGGGAGTTTGTGTGTTTTGGGGGGGGGGGGGATATTTCCTGTTGATCGTGGTCTGTCCAAAACAACTGTTATGTCCTATTTGGAACATAAGTCTTCTTGCTCTTGTGCTAATTTTCAACATTTTTCTTGTCCAAAAAAGGTGTTCATGTAATAATTTATTGGATATCCCAGGGAACAGTCATATTACCAAAAACATAAAGATATAAAAATGCATATCTAACCAACCAGTTTTCTAGTGGAACTGATGATAATGATATAAGTTTATTTATTTTTATCAAGAAAAAAAATTGATGAGCATAACAGGTATAAACTACCGCCACAAAAATGAAGCAAAACCAAAGTTTTGAGTAGAAATGCTACACAAGAAAACTTCCACCTGTACAATTGTTTGCAAAAAAACCAAGCTCACCAAGGAAATGTGAGTATTTAGTACAGATAACAAAAGTGGAATTTATGCGTCAAACATGTATGCGTCGTTTCAAAATGGATATGAGATCTAAAACTTTGGGAAAAAACTATGCAAATCATATTAACGGTTATAAGATGCAGTACAGCTAGAACAATGGCAGGGTTAAATTGCACAAAAATCCATATAAACTTGTGCATTTTGGAATGTGTAAGGTTTGGTTCACATCAAAAATTGAAGTGTTTTTCTTTGAGTTGAAGCAGAGTTAGTTTCAGATTGCAACAGATCGATGATCTCATACTGCATAAAAAGTACTACATTAAATCTGAAACCATAATACACGATTTAATCGCTAGAATAGCAAAATCGAAAGTACAAATACAAATATAAAGGACATAGCCACAAGAAAGAATGAAATAAATTAGTTCAAAACTCTGACCTTCTTTTTCTGCTTTCCACCACCAGACTTGGCCGGTTTAGACGACGGAGGGGGAGCCTTCTCCTTCTTGGGAGCCTAAATTCAGCATAAGATGAATTTGTTACACTCTCAAGAAAATCGAATCAAAATAGCAAAGAAAAGGCGACGAATCATAGATGAAAAACTTCAATGGGTTGAACTTACCATGATATCTGAAAATCTGTAGTTCGGCTAGACTTGCAAAGTTCTGAAGAAAAAGAAGCTGCGCACAGAAATGGAGTTTCTGTGTTTATTTATATAGCTAGGGTTTTGAAGGCCTTGGTTAAAATTTGGGGTTGTTTCTATCGGGTCGGGTTATAATACTTGACCGGTCTTTTGGGTTCGAACAATATCGGATTCTATACACTTTTAGGCGCTATTCTCATGGAAATCTACCATAAATAAAATAATTTTTTTAGATAAATTGTATGAAAATCAGTGGTGGATTTTTGTCAAACCGAGTCATCTTTGACGTGTATTTGGGATTGTTTATTTGAAACAACTTTTGTTTTTCTCTAAAAACACTTATCAACTTATTATAAGTTAGAAGAATTTAACTTTTTTAAAACTTTTTATTACCGATTTGACACCTCAAAAATGTTTATTACCGGTATCACATCGGAATACGTCAATAAGTTGATTTTATAAGCAATCCCAATTCCCAAACACCCCTTACGTAGGATCAAAAATCTGTAAAATCGTTTGATTTGTTTTTGGCTGAATTTTGCATTTTCAAAGAAACTTTAAGTTTTTGGTTTGATTTTAATTTTCTTTTAAAAAGTTTTTTAGTTGATTTTGAAAGATTTTTTCATTTTCTTTTTGTTGACTTTGAATCACTTTTTCAGACTTTTGGTTGACGTCTAATATCCTTGAGCATCCCTCAACTTTGCATTTTTTTTGAGCCACTTTTTCAGATTTATGATCTGTTGATCAAATTCATTTTATTCTAAATATGAATTTGATTTTTTTGGAATAATATCACAAGCTATGCTTCCAAAATATGAATTTGATTTATTTGGAAGAATGTAACATGTTATGTATGTACTAATCCCATCAAATTGTGGTTGTTATATACGGTTGAAATCGAATCCTATACATATGGGATATTCGACCACATCCCCCATAACCTCAACCGCTACGTCACAACCCTTGTGATTTATGAATTTGATTTTGGTTTCCCTACAATAACGGTTTTTATTCGTATTGTCTTAAAATATGACTGAAAATATAATTGGTTTTATTAAATTATAATTTATCCCTTTTTACATAAATCAAGTCCAAATAATATCCAATGTTTACAAAAATTCTACTAAGAAAATATAATAGTTATTCTCAGTTATGTATAGAGTGTAGACGAGAACACTAAATTTACCAACGAAAAACAAGACTAAATAAGTGAAAACCAACTATGAGAACACACAATATATTAATTTTCTATGATAAAACTATGAATTGAATATTAACAAGTAACAAATACTTCAATTTAGGGGTTGTTTACCAAATACTTGCCTGGTAAATACGAATAAGAGAAACTCTGTTATAGCCATTTCTGTAAACTCCTTTCTTTATTAGCCCATAAATTGACAACCCAGATAAATCACAGAGTATAAATCCATGCATATTTTATACCTTATAGATTGTGGTTTGTGTATATCTTTTGTAAATCCTTTTAAATCCCTTCATTATAAGATATAAGATCGATTGTAATCGCAGTAAATCAATGGTACTTTATCCATATATGCAAAGCAGGGATGGACCCAGAAAATTTTTCATACGGTGGCACCATATAATTAATATAATATAATATATATCAAAAAATAATTACAAAAAATATGGTTTTTATTGTACCGATAAACAACTCCTAAACTTTTACCCGACTCGTCTTCATCTTTTGAAAACGGTCAATATATACCCAAAAATAATTACAAAAAGTATGTTGAGAAACAACTCCTAAATTTGTCCTCAGCGTGTCTTCATCTTTTGGCAACGATTCTTACCACGGTTAGTGCTTACCGGGTAAATTGTTGCATACAATGTCGTTTTGGTGGACTAAAATCTTACCCGGTAAGCACTATCGGGTAAGTATTTAGTAAACGACTCCTAAATCATATTTACTTTTTAAAAGTATAATTAACTCAAAAACCAGTTAAAAAAATATAAAACACTATAAAAGGTATAAATGTGTACCATTTTCCATGGCTTAATCAGAAAGTACACATTTTTGTTAAGAGGTAAATTGAAATCACTGATAATGGTTATTTTTGTTAATTCCAGGTTCAAACCCAATGATAAATAAAAATTCTCTTGTAGCCACGGAGATTTAAATACGGTGACTCCGGGTTATCTACAAAAATAAGTGGTCGCTCTAAGATTAGTCGGCTCACATAACGGGTTGGATATCCAGGTTGGTTAAAAAAAACACAACCAAATATCTCATAATTTTTTATTATTATTTAAAATTAAAATAACCAGATTTAAATATAGTTTAATTCATATGAAACCTATTATTTTTTTATAATTAATATTTAAAGCATTGGGTTGTGGAGCTGGTGAGTACCCATACGCTTTATAATTAATATTTAAAGCATTGGGGTTCTCTTCCTCATCTCCATCACCGCCGCCGCATCCTCTGGTTTTCCGGCCTCTTCTTGTTTCTTCTCACCACCTTCATGATGATACGGTAGCACCACTCTTAGAATTTTATAAAAAATACGGTAGCACCTTCCAAAACGATACGGTAGCACCGTTAACAAATCTACAAATTTTACCCTTCGGAGGCGAAATAATACGGTGGCACGTGCCACCCATGGCGACACACTAGGTCCGCCCATGATGCAAAGCAATATACGAAGACTCAAATAAATCATACCATGGGCGGATCCAAACTTTAAGCACCAGGGGAAAGGCCCCCAATCCCGGGTCTCATATGGCCATATGCTTCCCTCCCCCAAGTCCAATCCAACATTCCCCCACCCCATTAATTTCCTGGATAGGCCACTAAATCATACCCTCAAAATCATCACAAACCTCCCTTTTTCTTTTCTATTGCAATTTCTGTAGGAATTGAACCTACAAATTCGCCAATCATGAGTTGGATGCTTTAATCATTGGGGCTATTGGGTGGTGGTCCCGCTTATGGGGTCAAATCAATACGCTCTAACCTTATTCCGGTCTGATCCGGTATGAAATGAACTTATAATCATAGAATTGACTCGATAATCTTTCATGGTATCGGAGCATTTGCTTTCACTATCAACAATCGTTTTTCTATCTACACTCGATGCAGATCAATTAAAAGGATAATTTTTTATCGTTCAATATAAAAAAAAAACTATCAATCTTTCACCACTTATCGAAGAGAGTTCTATATTAGCTATAATCCGGTTACATATCATGGAAAACCGCATAAATATATGACATATTGCAGTAGACTCATGCTGCTAAATCAAGCATTCTAGCAACAAAAGGCAAGCAGAACCAACCAAAATCTGGAAGCAGGTGAAAATTTCAGTAACAGATTGCTAAATAATCCTATTATGTTCTCGATTCTTTTACGTGTTCATCGATCTTGATTCATACACAGAAAGTTCAAGTTAACATGATAAATAGAAAACAATACCTAAAGCTTTGTTGTTAGAAACGTGAAAGCTGCTCAAGTTTACGCGATTGAAAAAACTTGCATCGACCTTTTCCACTAGATTCAATATCTTCAGTTTTCCTCTTTCCCCCTGTGAAACCTAGATTGCTCAGCTTCAACTGCCGCTTGCCTGTCTTACCAGAGGACTGATCTTCATCGGCTTCATCTGCTTCCCTGCAAAAATGAGATTGTAGCAACTACTGTAACCTATTTGTTTTTTAATATACATGGTTCTTATCCTAATTTAATAAGAAAATCAAGAAAAATGTAGATCTTTTTCGGTAACAATCAAGGGGGCGTTTGGTTTGACAAAATGTTTTCAAGAGATTTGGATTTCATGTTGAATTTCATTCTTTATAGATAATTTATAAAACCAAATAATAAATACTTACAAAACGATTTTTTTTTAACATATTTTAAAACATTATTACATACAGATATAAAGATATCCCATGAAATACCAATCATGGGATTTCTAAATCCATTGTATGTAGAATTTTCAGTTCCGGACTTCCCTTTAAACCAGAAGCAGGATTTGGATAGGATCCAATTCCAAATCCCACGAAATCCCACAAACCAAACGGGACCTCAGGTTTACTCTTTACATATGTATAATGCAGACAGTGCTGTAATATTTGTTTGATAATGAAACCTAAACATGTTTTGCAAGACCATTTGATTTCAAAGAGGAAGACAAGGATTAGTACAATGATAAAAGTTGTGTTCTAAAGTCAAATAATCAATGTTTGTTCCTTTTGTACCATGAAAATATCAATCACGTTACAATCTTAAACTATTTTGCAAATTGATTTTGGTTTTATTAAAAACGTAAACGGTTGCCAAAAGTTGTTTTCTATCCAAATCACATATTTTTAAGAACATGAACACACAAATAGAAAACAAAGTTGTTATCACACGAGGCTATGGGAAGGAATTTCAAATGAGGACTCACCATAACACTTCAACACCATCTTTGAAGTAAAATTTACATGTGCCCCAACTGAAGCGAACCAATGACGGGAAGCCAAATACCAAATGTTTGTGATGATCTAACCAATCCTTAGTGCTGGGATCTGCATAGATGTTCATTGTAATTAACCACTCCATAAGTAGATTGATATGGAGACGATCACTAATGACTAAGCCAAACCAGGCCAAACAAACTCGGTATATCTCATCCCGTCAAAAACCCTGGCTTGTGAAAAAGGTTCAGTAAAAAAAGTTAAAATTTGAGAGCACAACTATATGCCACATAATTGCAAAAAAAAAGGATCTTTTTTAGACAGAAATATATAACAAAGCAAAGAGCTAGAATGCACATATAACACAAAAAACTCGTTGTTCCTTCAAAAGATACCACAAACCTATCTGAAGACACTCTCGAACTCCCGGCCTCCCCCAACAAAACCCCCACCTCCCCTCTACAAGCAATCAACTACCCTAATCCACCACCCCAAGAACTACTAACGACTATGGTCTATGAAGCCAAATACACACACACAAAAAAACAAGCTTGTTAACATTAAAAGCTTTTCAAATTGAAGAAACTAAATTATTCTCACCTCCAGGATATCCAGATCCAAAGTTTCTATGCATGTTTTCGGCAGTTTCATCAAAGTTCCAATTTTGCAATGCTCGGTCCCTTGTGACCTGAATGATCAAATATCAGGTGATCACCAAGAGGCCTTTGGTCTAATGGTACCAAGTGAGGCTCTACAACCTTGAGGTTATGGGCTTAAGTCTCTTCAGAGACATAGGAGCTCATATATTTAGCAGTTAAGGAAAAATAAAAAAGAAGACATGAGATGATCAGTCATTCTGAAATTTACCTTAGCGACTATACTTGCTCCACTAACAACTGGATATAGACTATCAGCTTTCTTCGCAACCACAAACTGAATAGACGGGAATCTCTCTGAGAGCTTAATTCTGTACTTATCGGGATCTCCTACCGTATCAACATAAACCTGTAAATACAAATAAGTATTGTCTTCCAGTCAAGAGCCCACAAACAAGTGGATGCAGAATTTAAGCTAATGTGGTTTTCCATCCTTGACTAGCTTTAGTGAAATTTTCTCAGCTACTGGCGATTAAATTTCAGGTTATAACTGCGGCTATTTTACTCTTTTTTTTTCTATAAAGTGGGCTCTCATTCTGAATATTTTTCATGCTAGTATCATGGCATCATAAACCTAGAGGGACCATTAAGGCATTCTGCATCAGCATGCATGGTTAACGAAAAAGCAAGTTCAGGTAGCAATATGTTTGGTATTTCCAAAATCTGGGACTTTTATGTCAAAGAGCTAAAATGCTCTTTCATGAGAAACTTTTCAAGACATGTATTAGAGATGACGAGGGCGTCATTTGACTCGGCACATTAATAGAAGTCTTTGATAATGACCAAATACCTAAATTACCCCTTGCTAGGACATACTAATGAGCTTTTGGACCATGATCCATCTCACCAATACATTGTAATCACTACTAATGAACAAATCGGTAAATCTGCAAAGGAATTTCTCCAAGTCTGCCAAACTATGTCTGAATTCTGACCAATCAGTCAAACTAATAACTAAGTATATACCTCAGTTAGAAGATACCCCACGTCCAGCACCCTCTTGACAAGGCCCATGGCAGACTCATGTGATATCTCGTTCAAGTTGATCTTATTTCTGTTAAGGGGAACAAACGAGATTATTTGGAGTAGTTATTTAACTGGTACAAGATTATTTACTGAAGGGAGTTGCATACTAACTTCTGCAACATTTTAGCTGAGAGCTCCCTAGGATCTATGACATCAACAGCCCAACCAATTGTTTCATCAGACTTCAAACTTCCAAATAACTCCTCTCTTTTCTCTTCTTTCAAAGTCTTTGAATCTGCATAAAATGGAGAATAAGATTATGAAAGAGAATAAGAAAATCCATCTTAAATCAAAATACAAAGCAATAAAAGTCAAAATCCATTACTGGTTGTGACTATATAAATGACCTCTCACTTTGTGAAAAGAGAAAATTACGCAGAGGAAGTACAATCTAGGCTTCAGAAGGAATGGCTCAGCTATGATCGAGTAAACACAAAGGAAATCATAACTAAGGGTATCATATGCAGAGCTTCTACGGTATATGTTAATGTTGTGGTATACCTATAAAACATGATAATGTTATGAAGATTTGGTACACCCAAAAATAAAAGATTCAACTACATTTAGTCATTGGAAAAAATGTGTATTTGATTATTACAAGATTGCAAAAAATAAGTACAAGTTTATCAGAAAACTTACCCACTCACCCAAAAAAATACTTACCTTATGCAATCCTTTTAGACATCCAAAAGTAAGTAGTCATTTAAATGCATACAATTGTAAACTAATGGAATAGCACACTAACAAGGTATAAGACCGAAATGAAAGGGACAAAGCATAATGGATCTGAAAATGAATAGGATGGTTTTATCATTGTTCAAACAAGACATGAATAACAAAAACAGAAATAAGATATAGGGAATGGGAATGGGAATGGGAATGGGAAAGTTTTAATAAATTGCAATGCAACAAAGCATATTCTCTCATGCCCTTCCTAGAAGGGTAGAGCCAAACAGAACTCAAGATTATTCTTGGCTGCAAGTAGAAAAGATATGCAAATTTATATCTAAATGAAGCACATGTGTAAAATTGACCTGTACATAATATCTCCAAGTAAAAATGAGTTACTCTGAACGAATATAAAATCTATTTCACAGATTCAATATAGACTGAAAATTGCAAGGTCAGGGACAGTTTCTTCATTACTTCTAACTGAATCCATGTCATAATCACACAAAAAACTACTCAATATACCATGCCAATCTCACTATTCCATGGGTCTTACCCATTTTGAGTGATTCCTTACATGTCTTCGTATTTGAATCTTTGTTGTCTAGGGATTAGGTTAATGTAACATTAGCCACAAGCAAATCAGTCATCAATCTCCTCGAGTCATAATATCCGTAATTTCTCTACAGTCATAAATTCAGATCTTATCCTGCCAAATTTGATATATTTCATGATTTTCACTAGAATACAAGAATTAATAATATTACTAAACAATCTTCATATGAATTCTTGATACCACTTCTACAATAAAATATGAAAAGAACCACAACTGATGACCAATAAACTCTTGCCCATCTTTGAAATCATGCATCTTAAGCATCCACCAATTAATAAAAATTACAAAGAAAACAAATGAAGTTATAGCCTAGGCCCTGTTTCCCCCTTGAACTTATTTTTAAACCTATAAGACCATTCAAAATCTTCTTTATACAATTGTTAACCTCTTCATATTGAGGCAGCATCTCTGCCCTGTTACTATTGCCGAGTTGAGTAATAAATTTCATCTATATACAACAAGAAAAACCAGCACATTTGTGTTGAGTAACCCTACGCCATTGGAACTTAGCTTTTGGTCCTAGAATTCCAAATTCTAGAAGTGGTTGTATTAAACATTTAAACTTCACAAAAACTAATAATAATTACATCAAGTGAAGAGGTGTAAAAACCATTCATAAACTTCAATATTTTTAGGTTCAAAAACAAATCCAATAGGAAAGAGGTCCCTATATTCAATCATTTAGACATTATGTACATACTTTACATAACCATTCAAAGAATCATAACAGTAATATAACATCGAAATTAGGGTTAATAATGTAGAGGAGACAAAGACAATAAGATACAAGTAGGAACCTGCAAATTCCAAGGTGGAAAGAGTTTTCTTGTATGAAAGCGGACAATACAAGCATCCATAGACCATCGGCCCTGAAATAATTATTACAACAATAAAACTGAAAATTAGCAATCAAAGTGGGGCGAAAATGGAACGTGATTGATGGAAATAGGAAGAAGAGGGGAAAACCTAAAACAGGGCCGCGACCAGCTTCGTCGATTCCCATTATGCAAGGCGTTGAAGCCCATTCTGGAATTTGACCTTCAGATGCCATATCAATGGTCTCTATGCAAGCTTAACAGAAGAGGTCTTCACTCTCTACCTGCTCTACAATAGAATCTATATCCCTCCCTTCTTGTTCCCGCCATAATCTCATGCTTTTTTAAGGTGTTGTTCCCCGGGTTCAGAAAACAGATGGACCATGGTTTGATGGTTTACGTGCTCACCCGGTTCGGACACTAAATTCAATTTACGATTTATAACCCTCGTTTATAACTTGTATATATATATATATATATATATATTTGTCAAACATTGTTTTCTTTTTATTACACCAAATACGCAATTACTTATATAAATCACTCATTTTCCATTGTTATTTAATACAAACATTTTTTAAGATTAGGGCCTTAGCCCAAATTAGCTAAGCCTAAATCAGATAAAAGTCACGACACTCGCTTACCTTATCGAGTATTAGAATAACATGATACAAACATCTTTTACCCGATAAATGATACCAGATGGGAGTCTATTAGAATATTAAAGTGTTAGGGTACTTTGGTAATTTCATTTTGTATTGGGTTAGTATAAATAGGTGCTTTGTATCTCCTTTATTCAAGTCAATATATAATCAGCTTTGGTAAAAGAGTCACTGTCTTTACTTACCTGATAAGATTGTTGGTAAGTAAAATGACACAGTAAAACAATTGGTAACATCATCTTTGCCCGAGTAAAAAATCTGTATGAAACTTTGGATCAATCAAATGCCAAAAAGAATATACAAAAGGGGTACAACATCAAGAAATGAATCATCCATTTTTACATCATCATCAGGCGCTTGGTTCTTGGTTGGTGTTGTTAATATGGAATTAAAAGCATGCATACAAATACAAATCCAAATCCAAATCCAAATCAACCATCTTATCAAACCACCACCATAACTGTATTTCCTAACTACCAACACACTTTTTTCTTCAATTCACCTTACGATTTGGCCTTTAACAACAGTCCCATGGTAGGTCGAGCATCTTTGTGCTTTCCATGCTGTTCTCTGCATAAAAACAAACACAAATATTTACATATTTTCAACTAAATTTGTGTAAGAGGTGGGTAGAAGGGTTAATGAAGTTACTCGACTAAGAAGCGGTAGATGGAAGCGGATCGGTCTTTGTGGGTGCATCTATTGATCAAGTCAAGATAAAGCATGGCTTCATGTGGGAGAAGGCCTTCCATGAAAAATCTAAGCAGGTGGGAATGTGTGGAAGGCATCACATCTAAAGATTGCTCTAATACTTTCTCTTGTTGCTCTTCACTCAATTCTGTTCCTTCCATCAATGGTAGAATCCCCCTCTCTTCCTCTTCAAAGTGCTCTTTGCAGTTCTCCTGCCCATCCAATTATTTTTTTTAATTTAAATTAAGAACACAAAAACAAGATGACAACAAGCTAATTCCTTTGTCATTTCCATTCATTGCAAATGAGCCATGTATGATCAAGAATGCATTTTGACTTTTTAAGGTCAAATGTTTTACCCTCCAAATTCAGATTTCATTTTAATTAGGTGACAAGTTTATGATTTCCTTAACATACAATGTAGTTGCTAAATATATGGTATTCACATCAATCTTGAAGTTGAAATTTAGCCTCGATTTCAAATTGGACAAAAAAGCATACCTGTAGCGATTTAAGGCGAGTGGTTAGACTAAAGAGGGCATCTTGGCATGAAGAGCTCCCTGAATCGAGGACTATAATAGTTTTGATGTCTTCTTTGATGCCATTCATGAGGGGTAGATCTCTAGCATGTTCCTCATTTGCAGATTTAGATAATCCTGCATCAACAAGAAAACACGACAACAGTAATAAGATCGTGTCATCGTGATGAGACAGAGCTACCAGATTTCTATACTGTCACGGAAGGCCATCCGGATCGATGTAAAATTCAGTGGAAAATAAAAATATAAAGATCATCTTTCTGAAAATGTGATTTAATCATTCAGTGAAAAGAAGAATGGGTATTATCTACTTCACTCATCCCATGAAAATTGCAACTAGTTCCATTTTGGTATATCTGATATCAATTCCAATAGTTCCCCTTTTGGATAAACTTACCTATTTGCCCTCATGGTCATCGCTAGAAAGGATTTCTAAGATCGTGTTTGGTCAACAAGAATTTGCAACAACGGAATGGTGCTCTTAGACAACTAAGTAGTTGTCAAAACAGTTCGGTCACGATGCTTTGTAGGGTCAGTTGTTGCAATTTTCATAGGACGGGGGGAAATACAAACGGTGACTTGAATACTTCAATAAAAAAGAGGAACAGAAAATTGATGGTATTCAAGATTGGTTTATTTACAAACCCAATAAAACATACAAACTTATAAACCAATTTTCAACACACTTGTGAGATTGCAGTGTTTATACAGTATTGTTGCATATGTGAAACGTCCAAGACTGTTTTATGTTTGGAAAAATAATAATTATGAATATTTCACATATGAAACAACACTATATTAACACTGTATTTTCACACATGAAAACTGGATTGTAAGTTTGTACGACTTATTGGGTTTGTAAAATAATGGGACTCTTAACATGTTCTTCGAAGAATTATTCCTTAAACAAACTAACCCCATCAATGAAATCATTACAAAATATCGTATCCTTGCTTATGTCAGCAAGATTTCTCTATTTTGTGATTATTGAGGGAGAATGCATTTGACAATCATTTTGGGATGGAGGTACCATTATCCCTTTTGGTGAAAGAGTTGGAAAGTTGATTGAAGAGAAGGCAACTGCAACTATGAGTGGATTGTATGTATGGTGAAGAAGAGAAGTGTAGCTTTTACATAATGTCTTGTGTTTCATCATGAAACCCATCACTAATTGCTAAAAATCAAGTGCATTCATGTTTTCATTTAAAGCAACAATTGTAGCAACTTGACAATAAAGTTATATGAGCTAACAATCAAAAGGAAGACAATTATAAATCATGATAGAAAAGGGTCCACCTTCAAATTTCAAGTGTAAAATGAGTTATTCTTTAACTTCAAAATAAGTACTTGTCTTTGAAAGTTTGGTTATACCAAAAGGGGATTTGGCATAGCGGTATCGTAAAATCTGGCCTCCTAGTAGGTCAGGGGTTCAAACCTCATATTTAGTGAGGAGGGTGTGAGTTTATTTGTATTAATGTTCTAATAAATGTTACAAACATTAAATTCTTCATATTAAGTGCTTAAACATGAATGGTATTCAAACCCAAATACAACCATTTATGAACATCTTATCTACAACCCACAAACCAAATTTAGCAACAGTTTCAGGTCAGCCATTGTTACTTTCTACTTACAAATTCATATGGATTTCTTGTGCAATTTCATGATCGATATAGTTCAGATTGTCAATTTTGTTAGAGAGATAGGGTAATTGTCACAGTTTTCTTGAAATATAAGAGATTCACACCAATTTTCGTTAGCTGGAAACTATTTATTTGACTTCCGGAAGTCAAAATCGATCAGATCTATTACCAATACAAATAATTGTAAATTACTAAATCTTACCTCGATCTTCCCTTTCCAAAATTGGAAAGACGATCCTCTCCTCCATCTGGGCATGTTCAAGCATCACCTCCAACAACTGTGAATAGCTCTTCCCATACTTCTTCACCTCCATCCGTGCACTACCCATCACTGGATCGCCCTTCGACCGGCCGCCACGAGCCGCCAAGTCCTCCCCCCACCTCACCATCCTCTCCAAATGCCACAGCAAACTCTTATGCTGCAGCACCGTCGCCGTCACCACTACCGGCGTCGTCTCATTGTACGTGCTCCAGTTGCTTAGGAGCAGCGGCTTCGGAAACTTGGCATCCAGATAACGGAGAATGGTAACCGGCGACCCCGATATGACGTCAGATCCGAACTGAATCACTGGCGTAGAAAACCCAAAATCGGGCGTTTCGGATGGCACGAAAAGTAGAGTGACAGGCTTGTGGAGGAGCGCGAACCGAATGTAGGAAGTGGCTGGGGTATTCGGCGAACCGTACAGTCTAACAACCGGCAACGGCGACGGTGACGGCACCGGGGACGGCGACGGTAAGGGGTTGCTGGTATCGTAATGATCTTTTCTACGGTAATCAATAGACTTTTCTGGTTTCCGGTAAACTTTATCTGAGTTTTCTGTTTTCCGGCCAACTTTATGGGAGTTGTCTATTTTTGGGTAACGTTTATCAGGGTTATGATCTGGGTTTGTTTTCTTCAGGGTTTTTGAACAATTCCCCATTTAAAAACAGGGGTTGGTGATCTGGGGACGAGGGGAATGAGGAAAGTGTTGAGGGTTTAAATTTAATGAAGCATGTTGAAGAAACAGCGGAGGATAATATTCGAAACTTAGATCGGAAGATAGAAATAGGGTTGGAAGAGTTGCTTTGACGAAAGAAAAGTTAAGAATGAGAATGGATAATGATTCCTATTATATTCAGTGTAGGTCTCTGGGTGCACATGGCAACAATGTTAGTTCTCTACATATTTGTAGAGGGGAAGGATGGAGGGAGAACAAAAGGGTTTGAGGTGTTGGATTTGTCCATGGCGCCTTTTGTGGAAGCATATGGAGATTATGGAAAAGGCGCTCTGACATGTCAGAATTTGTACATCTCGAAATACTGTTCTCGATCAGAATAAACGTTCACGTACATGTTATTTTTATATCTTAAGACTTGCATCAATTGTTTAGTAATACCTTAATCGTATAGAAAGTGACTTATTCAATAAGTTTTTAAAGGATAATTTTATGTAACGTTTACTAAAAAGAGTTATCAAAATAGATTAATAGTAAACGTTTATAACCCTATAAATATTTATCGGGTAAGAATCATCAACCTTACTTACTGAGCTTTGAAAGTTAGCTACTTTTACATCCATCAACATCGTGTTTTGAAAAACAATCCTTGGATTATCAATCAACATTGATAGTTATAGTTTAACTTCTAGTTTTACAAGTGATTTATGGTAGTGGGTTTGGTTCAAATTTAAAAAACCACCATTTTTCGTTTAGAGTCCTTGTATCAATCAAATATACATCTGGAAATAAGAATCTCTGTAATTATAAAATAACATAATTGTGATTATTATTACTATTTTTATGGAGGAAATTAATTTTATTTATCCAAAGATCCACCTTTTTGACTATTGGGGTTAAAAGTGAGTAGGTATCCCCTCTTAAAAAGGCAACCATGATGGCTTAATTGTGCACCAATGTCTTACCTTATTTATGAACCAATACCCAACCTTTTGTCCAAGTTATGAAGCAACCTATGGCAAGATAGCCAAAAGCATTAATGATAAATATTATAATTAACCAAAAGGGTGATGTTTAATTGGTTTGAACTTGTGTTTTAAAGATTAAAATTGTTTGGAGATCTCATGTTCAAAATGAGGAATAAAAATCCTCTTGTAGCCACGGAGGTTCAAATGAGGTGACTCTGAACTACCCGCAAAGCAGATGATTGTCCTGAGATTATTTGACTTGTATAGTGAATTAGATATCCAGATTAATAAATTGATATCTAAAATCGTATTTTTTAAGTTTTCTTTAGTTGTATATTCAAACGAAAACATGTATTAAACATATAAAATATCACAAACAAGTTAGATACGTAAATTTTCCATCAATTAGCACAAGATTTCATGATTTTAAACAAGCATAGTTTATGATATTTAGTTTAGATATGTACAATATAAAAACATAACGTAACATATATACATACACCAATCATAATCTTTAAATTCAAGTTGAAAGAAATGACGCAAAAAGGGGTTGATCTGTCTCATCTTGACTTGTGTCTGCTTCCTCTCTCTTTTTTTTTTTTGAAATTTTAAGCCATGCACACACTTGATAGAAAAAAATGAAAAAAAAAAAAGAATGGGAGATGACCAAGTGACATATTGAATATGGAGATGACAACAGCATGAAGTCGAGATGCACTAATACGAAAGAGACTCTCTCTTTACCTGACTTTCCCCGTTGGCTCATAACATGGATCGAATTGATTATCTTCATGCATAAGGATACTGATTTTTTCTTCACTCGGACCAATCCGTCAATTCGGATTGCAAATTGCAACTCGCCTGATAACTTGGGTTTATGTCAATTGAAAGGGTACGACTTCGGGCATGGCCAGCTCCCATAGTATGACAGACGGTGTATACAAGGCCTATATATATAATTGTTACATTATATTTTTGTATTGTACATATCCAAAGTAAATATTATATAATATGCTTGTTTAAAATTATGAAACCTTGTGCTAATTGATGGAAATTTTATGTATTTGACTTGTTTATGATATTTTATATGTTTAATACATGTTTTTGTTTGTATACACAACTAGAGAACTAAGTTGTAGGTAAATTTAATGTTATGTTTAACAACTACAATCTAACTTATTTATTAATATTATTAAAAATCTCGTTTGCTTAATCATAACTTAGTTTTTTTTTAAATTATTTTGTGTAACATTTCAATAAAGTTGAGATGCTTTTGTTAAAAAAAAATCCATTTTAATTGAAAAAAAATCGACCTTTTTTGTTTAAAAAACTATAAATACATTGTTGTTTTTTTTCATAAGCATGTAGTATTTTTCCTTAATTACATTAATGCATTGTATATTTCAAACAATAAGGTTTTTTAAGGTATATTCTTAAGGTAATAACTGAAATGAAATACATTTAATTTTGATACAGTTTGCTATCTTTTATGAGTTTTCATGTCAATTTGTAGCATTTATCAAAATCACTGTTTGACACACCATTAATCTTTCACGTAAATTATATCTGTTTAGAGTCATTTTAATTACTAACAAAAATTAAATCTGATAATAACATAGATGAAGTGTTGTATATTAATGTGTTCTTAAATTATCCCTACTGTTTTATAGCATGTGGGAAATTTTTGAGCCTCATTCATGTTCAAATTGAATGCGAGAGTACAATCCTTTTAATAATTAATACGATCTAAATTGAAAATAATGGTTAAACATTTGTTGATGTTTGCGTAGTAATTATTACACTTGAATTGATGTCGGGTTTAGTTGAAAAGTCGTCATCAATATAAAACTTAAACAGATGTTTGATTAGATATAACATGAAATGATAAATGAAATGAAAATCAATAATAGTGGTGGTTTGGTATAATTTGGCTCGATCGTCATAAGACGTTGAATAATGAAATTTTCTCAATAAATTAGTGGAAATAAAATGTTTTTTTTAGTCGTTAAGTCTATTACATGAGGACAATATGGTCAAATCCCTTAAAATATGAGTTTCTAATCGTCTCTACCAAACCCTTTCAGAGCTCCGCTTACCTTTGATCAACAAGGCATCTTCTCCCACCAGTTCGAAGACGCGATTGTTCAACATACTGAAGGTCGAGGATGATACATTGTGAACAATTTGTTGCCATCAATGAATGAGAGCTTTGGGATGTAGGAGATGGGAACGCCTACACGTGAGTAGAGATGTGCAAAAAGTCATCGATCAAATTATAACAAAACAATCGTGATTAGATATCCAATTGTAATTAGATCGAATCAGATCTAATTTTTCAACATCCAAATTGGATTGGTTGGTTATTGGATGACAATATAAAATCCAATAAAACCGATCCCATTCAATTACCCATCCAATTGTCATCAAATTACCCATCCGGCTCTTTCAAACTCAATGTGGACGGTTCCGCTATAAATGGATTCATCCAATTATTAACTACATTTATTTGTTGACATTTTACAATATTGTTTTTTAGATTATTATTTATACGTTGTGGTTTTTAACAAATTAAGAATATATAATATTTGGTTGACATTTATATCAAAATATTGTATGGGTCCAATATAATCCGGATAAGCAATAGTAATATCCAATTGATGCAACTCATTTGATCAAAGCATCAATTGGATTTGATCAGATAACAAAATTCAACATTCATTGGATGATTATCGGATCAGATCCAACTAAATCCACTAGATTTCAACCGATGAAAACCCTATGTGAGAGAAAACATTTACACACATAGATGGATAGAAAGATAGATAAAACACTTTGATGTTAAACATACATCACAAGAAAAGTGGTTGTGTACCCGCGCAATGCGGCGATAGCCATGAATTTTAACGATTTTGAAGTTCCACTAGTTTTATAAGATAAGMTTTAACGATGATATATGTTACACTTGGTCTTTACATATTAATACAATTTGAATAAATAAGAATTATGGTTCCAATTACAGACTATCGATGAAAAAAACTGTATGACAGTTTAAAATCCAATATATTTAAAATCTAACATATTTAAATGACTCAACAAATGTGTTTGATTTACACCAAGAGCAAAGAACCAAGAAACTTGAGTTTTAAGATAAACACTCAAAACCAATAAAGAAAACTATAATTTTGACAGATCATAAGTCATGAAAAGACAAAAAAAGATGGGTTTTAGAATGAAATTTCAACTGCTTACTCTCTTTCTTGTCTAGAAACTCAGATTAAGGTTGAATTAATACATGTATATATATATTTCAAAAAAACTCAAGAACATATTAATTCAGAACATATTATACAGTGCAATTTGGACAGTCTAACCCCAAAATATATAGTGTATATATATATATATATATATATAAACAACTATAAAAGTATAAATCGTAAATATTAAAAATATTTTCTCACAGTACATATAACATATAATAATATAATTATGTCAAAAACTATTCAATATTGAACTCATTTCGAAGGTATTAACGAGACGATTACAATGGTGTAACTTGTTAAAATAAAAATGTATTTTTTAAACATGTTTTAATTGATATACGATTATGTATATTAATTTGATAAATGTTTAAAATAAACATTTAAAAGTAAAGAACGTAAAGTAAATTAATTAACTAATTATAAGGGTATAAAATGTAAATTTAAAATTATAATTTAAAAAAAAATCGTGAGAGGGTGAATGTAAGTGAGAGGGTAAGTGTATATGAGGAGAGGAGGGGGTGAAAAAATGAAAAAGTGATATAAATGGTATCTTGGTCATTTAGTATTTTAAGACTTTAAGATTTTTATTAAATTTGATTTATAAGATAGTATAGATAAAGTGGGGATAGAGACATTTAAGGTTTGCACTTCTGTTTTCCCCCTAAAACAACAATTTTGCCATCTTGTTTAATATAACGTGCCGTTAGTAAGAAGGACTAAAACCAAGCAAAACAAAATTTGACAATCCTTTTTTGTAATAAATATACTGTAGGGACTAAAACCAAAAAATCCAAAAATCGCAGGGACCAAATCCGTAATTTACTCCAAAAATAGTAACATCCGTCAAAATGGTCATGGTTCGTTTTATGAGCCGACCCGATTAGTTTGGTAGGTCATGGATCCAGTTTAATCCCTAAATAAATTCCGAAACCCTTTCAAGTCTGAAGAACAAAATCAAGAAACCTCGACGCTACTAGTTCGGCTAACAATGGCGGCCAAGAAATCTAGCAGCGATGGTGTCCTATCTAGGATTTCGTCAACAATATCCGAATCCCCAGTCGTCTATAGAGGCAAACAAGCCGCCTCCGATGCAGGTTTCGTCGTCAAGAAGCTCCTCAAGAGCACAGGCAAGGCAGCCTGGATTGCTGGAACAACTTTTTTGATCCTCGTTGTTCCTCTAATCATTGAGATGGATCGTGAGGCCCAATTGAACGAGTTGGATCTCCAACAGGCTAGCTTGCTCGGTACTCCAACCCCCGCCGTCCCGCAGAAGTGACCGCACTAGGCCCTAATTTCTCTGGTCAGATTTTAAGTTTTTAATTAGTAGTTTTGGATAATATAAATTGGCTACTGGTTTTCTGTTCGTGCGGAGTTTTAATATGCTATATGGGAAATCGATTTTTCCTTCACTTTCTGACATGGTTTCCTTGGAGACCTATATTATATGGAATCTGATTGTCACTGTTAACCTAGATGCCTATTTGGGATGGATAAATACGAGTATCGCATGTCTTCTTGTTATCAATTGCATTTGCGTATATCGCATGATATATGTGCTAATAATATGGTTGATATTTGTTGTTTGATTTAAAATATTGGTTGTGAAGGCTGCTGATTGTTCTATACTTCTATACTATTTTGAAGTGAAAATGGACAGACATATCAATAACGGGATTGCTTCTGTTTTGTGTTAATATCGACACAAATCCCTTTTTTTTTCTGAAAATTATTTGTCCATCGGTGGATGAATAATGATGGAAAAAGCGAGTGTGCTTCTCCTATATATAAATAGGATTCAATAGGTAGGGTTATGAGAATCACATGAAGAAAAAGAAAAGCGTAAAGAGTATCATTGTTATTATTTCAATACTACAAGAGCTTGTTGTTAGAAAAAACTTTTCTTGGAATCTATTGAAAGTCGTTTATCATTTTCAGATTGAAGTATTTCGACGGTACAATCGAAATCCCAATCGGATAAAATTCAGTGATTGACAGAACTTCGAATCCAAAATCGTTATGAAATCTGTGTACCACTCTCTCAATCGAAAAAATGACCAATTCGCCTATTCAAGAAGTGCGAAAACAGTCAAAAAACGGCAGTTTTTTGCACCCTAAACCGGGTTCAAAACCAGCCAGGGGACTGCCCCTTGGACCCCGCCACCGGGGGCGCTGCCCCCGGACCCCCGTTTTAGGGGCTTTGCCCCTAAATCAAAACAAACTCAAACAAGTGTGCACTCCGCACCTTCCTTACCAACAAATTAATCCCATTACACTTAAATGATATTGGTGATACTAATCACCAACGCTTGTCATCCCTACTTTTATCTGTCGTTCTTGTATTGGCGTAATTCATAGTCCATACTCAAGACTTCATGCTATTAACTTTTAGAGGGGTTCATTGAGTGGATTGAGTATTTGGTAGAACTGTTGTACATCATCATCTTGTTCGTGTGTTAGAACAAAGCAATTTTAATTTGTTTCAAGTGACTCATTGGCACTCCTTGAATCATTTTAACTGGGTGAAGAGTGATCCAGTTTTATTGATAGTGATGGGTAAGGGTAATTTAGAGCACACCATGCTTTACAAGAGAGAATAACATTGGAGCATGCATGAAATCACTTGTGCAAAGTGATTGCGCCATCATTTGTGAGATTGTGTCCGTTTAAGATCTACTAAGATAATGAGAGGGTTTAAACTATGAGAATGGAGACATTCACTTAGCCTGTAGACTTTACTTGTCAGGAAAAAAGAGGGATATAGGATGCATCTATTAATGCATTGTATTCAAATAATAAATATGAAGTTATATTCATCAGAAAATGATGCTAAAGTTTTTTTTTTCCCTCTGGCATTGTGGAATTATGACGGTAAGGAGAATTTGAGATGGTGTCGACTTGCTCCAACCAAATGTAAACTGCATGCCTATTGTAATTGCTACTTGGTGAAAACTGGACATTTGCTGTCATGGAGTTGGATAATATCCCTTCGATGAGTGAGGCTAGCTTGAGAATGTACTTTTTATTTTGGTTAATAATAAGCTTTTGCTTTTAAGATTAACAAGGCTTACTTGCTATAGTGTAATTTTTTTTGAAGTATATAAGATTTATATACGGCAAATGCAACAAATAAACTCACACACCCTCCTCACCTTTGGTGAGGTTTGAACCCTTGACCTCCTAGGAGGCCAAGGACTATAATACCGCTAGGCCAAAGGCCCTTTGGTTGCTATAGTGTAATTTTGTTGTGTCTGTTAATGATATTTTCCCTGATATTGCTTGAATTTAATTGCTGTATTCTGCGTTTGGTTAAAATTTAAATAGAAGTATGTTAATGCTTTGGGTTTTGGTATATGATCCAAGGGGGTTTGGATTCATACCTACTGCTTCAAATATATGGTTAACAATCATCTGATTTCTTTGTATCTTGTTACTCATTATAGACCCTTGTGGTGGCCTATCAATACATGAATCACACTAACTGGTCTGTTGCATAGATTTAAATTTAGGGTGACATTCTTTATTTTATGGGCGATCATCGGGAGCGTTATGTGTTGTTGGGGGATTGAGTCCTCTTGAAGCCTATGCTTTTGTGAGTTACTTGGGGCGTCTATTTAATTGTTATGTTAGGACTTCTTACTAGTTTCTACTAATACACACTGGGTCTCCGGTCTTGGCTCAAATAATCAAGAGAGGGACTTGTTCTAGCATTCCTTTGTGGCCTTACATACCCCAAGAATAAAACCATTGTGTTGCTATAAAGTAAACATTGTTTTTATATACAAGTCCATCACCATGGGTGGATATTGCTAAAATGATCAAGCATATGCTTATATATGGTGGTGTGATCTACTCCACATAAACTTTGATGTTCATATGACATGGGTTGGATTGGTTTATGCCAGAGTGGTCAAAATTTCGAGCGTGTTTGTTTGTTTGTTTATACGCGAGGACAATTAGTCAACCAACGTGTTAGTTCAAACCTTATTCGGCTTCTTTATTTAGTTTTATATGATTCCTTTGTTGTTAGAGCTCGATAATGAATTAGTGATCTGAAATTTTCTTCGGATGCAGGTACCTGGGTGACCAAATTTAGCAGAAACAGCAAAAAAGAGGCAGTACAAAAGTGAGGAAGAAGGCATTTTGATGTAGTTATGAGTAGGAAAATACTTATGGTTTTGCTTCAAACTTCAGCTGTTCTGTTATTTACTTGAGCAATTACATTGACAAATATTTGAGTGATTCAGGTATCATTGTTAAATCCAACATCATAATTTCTGGCTTTCTGATGGCCAATATTACTGATTGGATTACTACAAGATATGTTCTTTAAGCATCCACATAGGGCTTGCAAATGGTCACCTAAGCAATGTATTGTCTAACACTTGCAAAATTTGCAATTCTTACAATGCCACCTGGACCCAACAAGCCTTTTTATTACATAAAATAATTATTAATTATTTTAATGCATTATTTCATCAATTAAAAAAATTGTTTTGTTCATGAAACATTTATTTGATTGATGATTAAAATAAAAATGTAGACTTAAATTACACACAAATATTAATATCGATATTTTGATTAATATACATACAGTATAGTTAAACATTAAATTTTACAATTAATAATTGTTTTATTAATCAAATTATAAATTATATTATTAAATAAAGTATTTATTAAATAAAAAAATAATTAGTGTAGTGAAGACTATTTTGAAAAGTAAAGGTAAATTGGAGATGTATTTGTAAAAGCTGATGTGATAAAATTGGTTTAGATTGGTTTTTGCAATAATCTTTCCTTGGAGAATTTCAGCTCTTCATTTGATAGTCTTTCATCTTGATTTAAAAACGACTTAAAAAAGGAATTGCAAAATCCAAGTGTACAACTCTAGATTTCAATGGTGGAAAAAGAACCTAACTTGCATATGATAAAGAAACAGAAAATGCTGATTTGAATGGAAACATAACAATATCAGTTGTTGCTGTGCATTATATATCAAGTTTACGCCTCACTCATCATCTTTCATTATGCAGAAAAATAGAGTGCATATACAGTAACAGTAACAGCAACACGAAAACATGATTTATACATCAAAAGCAAGAAACGATACGTCCTAGAAACCATTCAACATTTGAATCCCCGACACGCCATCAGCCATACTATGATGATTAAAATGGCAATGGCTCCTCCTACCATCAGCTTCATCTGGAGATTCTGCAACCACATCTTCCTTCGTAGTTGCCTTCCCTGCCTTTGGAAGCTGTCCGCCTGCCATTCAACACAACAATTATAATAGCCTAAACAACGCCTTCCATCACTAGAAAAATTACTGTTTCTAAGACGAGCTTAAAGTTGTACCTGGAACTGAAGGTTTTCTGTCTTATCCACTAGTAATTCAATCTTCTCACCACGATCCAAAACCTGTTTTAATAGGATAACACAATACAGTTTATGTTATGAATATGCAATTTGATCAAGGGTCCAACAAGTATTGTGCCCTGAACCTTCATGGATCACCAACCAGTCATCTTCGTCTATAAAATTACATATTCTCATACACTTGCACATCTAATTTTCTATACTCTAAGCATACACACATATTCTGCGTCACAGAACCTTAACCAGGTTTTGCAACCTCTTGGGAACGGTTCTAACACCAGAGGTGGGTTGGAGGGGATGCCACCCTCTATTAGGCTTCGAAGACAAGGGGGACAGAGGAAGACCGACGCCATCAAAAAGGTTTCATTAAGACGATGAGAGTACGGTTTCCATAAACAAGTATTCAAAGAACTTTTAGTAACTACTAACACTACGGATGATTACCTATTAAATGTGAGATCGTCAAAAGTCTATCATCATACCACTGGATCTGTTAAGTTACCCGTCAAGAAACAAGTCAATCGGTGGGTGTTTCTGTGTATGTCAGGTTATGCATGTCTAAATAGGAAGTACGAAAAACTTCATTGACAACCCATCCAAGAATGAGGGTAAGATATGCATTAATTAGAGATTCTACTTTTCAAGCATGGATCTATTAATTTCCATATGATTCATTTGGAATGCAGGACTTTTGTCAGTTTAGGTCTAAATTGCTAGAGTTTCTTATCCATTACAAAAAGCAAGCAATGCATTGCATAATCTCAAAAAATCAATTGTCTATTCATCTTTCATCTTGTACAGTTAGATTTGTTCCACAGTTTTCCAAAACCACGAGTGCTTAGAACCTTTTTTTCATGCATAACTTCACATGCACATATATAGATAAATTCACATTCGCACATGGATGTAAACATATCAAAACATGTGATGTTACAGTGTGATGGCCGATGATACAAAATCTGTTTTATTCTCTTTTCCACAATCTGTGGATTCTGAATCGGTTGTAACGAACTCTACTTACCAAAGTTACTGCATGTTGTTAAGATAGAGTGCTTGAGGTGCCAAAAATGATGTCAATCTACAAATGCTTACTCCAGCTATCTTTGTAGTCTCCCTCATAAAAACTTAAAAACTTGTACCTGAATCTGATTATAGCAAGCCATGCATATGACTGCATTGGTTAAAATTTCTCTCTTCGTCATTAGAAAGACAAATGCGTCAGGAGACAAAGTGATATGAGCCGATCATACAAAGGTTGCAACAGTAATCAAAACAAACTGTTTCTGTATACATGGTGTATGCCTAAGTATCCTGGAAGTCCCCTATATCAGCACCATTATGAACTCCATATCACTCAAGAGCCTCCTCCATCAGCCAATCAAACAGAAGATTGGAATTCAAAGGACAGAGCAAGTTACTATACCATAAAAAGCATAAAGAGAAACAATGGGGGCATTTCTCTTGGCTGCACCAAGCCACCAACCCTAATTCTTACCCTCCCTTTTTGTCCAATCTCTCTAAATTAATATGGCCTCTAAAGTCTAAAGATTGAGATCGGCAAAGTTTAAACCACCAAAAGAAAAAGAATCTTTCACTTCATGAGCCTGGTTGACACCTTGAAACTTGGTATAAATTCAAAATTTAATGTTACGCCAAAAATGCACAGAAAAGGTAACAATTTTCTTTCCAACATAGTATTCACCTCAAGTTGGTAATTGTAAAGTTACAATTCCTAACAAACAACTAGAACACAGAAAAAGTTGAAAGTTAGAGGTCCTTGATTGCACAATAGTGATATTGAGTAACTTCAGTAAGCAGATCCTATATTTCCAATGTTCAAGAGTACGACTATTAGTGGCAGATCCAGAAATTTAGGTGACTGCGGTCCCTAGGGATATAAAAAAGCTTAAACCGAATAACTCATCCAAACCAAAACAGTTTCGGGTTATCCAGTTTGCAGGTTAAACAATTCGGTTAACCAAGTAAGGTAAGTTTCGATTTCGAATTATTTTTTTACCATATCGGTAATATAATTTCCTTCCAGGTGTATTGGTTTGAGCATATATAAAATTAACGTTAGGTGAGTTGATTTATATTAAAACTAAAAAACAAGAAATTGAAATATATTTAACAAAACCATCGACCAATGTTATCATTGTAGCATGATTGCAAGAACTAGCGGTAACAAGATACGAGGATAACGACAGTTAAACGAGGGAGTGGGGGGTTTCATCAAAACGGATTGGGTCACTGGGGGAAACCGTAAAAAATGACTTTGGGGGAACTCAAGGATATAAAAGTAAAACGAAAAAATTACCTATATTATTTTAAAGAATTAAAATTTTAGTGGCGGCCTTTCCCCCCACCTTTGCTAATGTGAATCCGCCCCTGACCACTATAACCTTAAAGAGGTCCAGAACTCGTAGAAATGTCTATAAGGTAATCCACCTTCCAACCTTAAAAATTGCCTAAAATAGCAGTCAATGTTACTTACTCAACTTTGATTTGCTACAACATGGTTCTATTATTCAATGACAATGAAGATACAATTACAATGCCACTGCAACGTGTGATTTCTAAAGACATACGGCACTGTAGTGTTATAACAAAAGGACAAGCATGCAAGTATAGTTTGACTACACAAGAAATATAAAACATTTAACATTTAAGTGTATAGGCTGTTTTTTCCTCTCAGTAATGTTTATTGACTTGCAATAAATGTAATGATTTATGTTTAGTTACTTGTACAAGTAATCAAAAAAAGAAAAGAAAGAAAAAACTTTACCTTCTCAATGTTGTCCATCATAATCCCTTTGACCTCTGTTATTTGAGCCTTCAGTTTAGACAGTTTACTCATTTCGTCAGGATGGTTTAAACAATACTCCATGTGTTCCTTTATCTTTGGCCTATTAATCACAGCAAATAATAAGATAAAAACTTCAAATTCAGTATAACACAAGACAAAACAAAGATACATGAGTTATTACAAAAATTCCCAAAAATAGGATGAGATCAACACACCCGAACTCCCTATCAAGATTATAGGCAATACTAAACCGATCTTCAAATAAATCATCATCGCTATCATCGGCAAGTGGGTGATCATTTCCAATACTTGCTCCATAGCGCTTCTTAAAATCATCCTTTATTCTCTCCAAAAACACAAATGGCACACTCCTCCCAACTGATTCATCCGCAACAACAAGGAAAACTGCATTGAATGATGGCAAAATCGCCCATATTACTTATTGGTAAATTGACAGAAACAGTGGTACAAGAAATTGGCATAAATGAATAAATTTCGAAATACCAAAGCCACTATCAAGCAAGAAGTTGAAGGTGTAGCCATCACAGGAATATGTGTATCTACTGCTATTAGAAGGCAACCTCTGTAAACATTGAACAGCAACCGTACTGACGTTTCCAGAGTAGGCTGTGTGTTCAGCCAAGACAACAGTCCCTTTTGCAACAAAGCTATAAATCAATCCTTTCTGACTCATTATTAGATTCGCAAGCACTAAAAATCAACCTTTCCTCACAAACTTTGTCCTGTTGGACGGATAATCCTGAAAATAACACACAAAAAAACCCAAGTTTCTCAATATGATTTATATCCGAAGGTGAAAAAACATAAAACAAAAAGCCCTAATCAAGACATTCTGCATTTTATGAGTACATAGTATCAGGTTGATTGTAATTAGATGATCTAGAGATTAAACATATTAAGAAAGGAAATAGAACAAATACAGGCCAATTAACCCTCGTTGAAACCCACCTGAAACAAATCATAAGCGAGATAATTAAACCCTAAAGTGGCGAATTTGTGGGATTAGTTAACGAACTTTAACGATCGATGAATTGGAACTAGGACAGAATGAATCAATTGATCTAACTAATCGTAGCAAATAAATCAAGAAAAGAGATGAATATTGAACTTGTATGCCAGAAACTTGTGAGAAATTGTCAAAATTAACGAGAGAGATAGAGAAAGAGAACCTGAAAATGGAATTGGGGTTTGAAGTTTTCGTGGGGATTTGGTTTTGCTTCGTGGGCACGAGTAAGGAAAGAGTAGACGGAGAATCCTGTGCAAGAAGTCCTTTTTTAACGCGACTGTTAGAATTAGATGATGAATTTTTTCATTTTGAACCTCCAACAAGTACAGTTTTTCATTTCAAGTATATAACTATTGCATATATACAAATCGGCCCCTAAATCTTTTTTATTTTCCTTTTATTTTTAATTCTAATGTCACTACAGGATATAACAATTAATCGAACATCTATCTACTTTTTGTTATATAAAGTCGATCTTCGTTCTCGAGTTAGAGCTCGTTTTCGAGTTAACTGGTTGCACTAATGATATTTGTTTCAGTAAAAATTAATCGAGTTTTTTTTTTTAAATCAATAGTTAAGGTTATAAACTTATTATTAACAGGACATATATATATATATATATATATGATTATTTATATTATTTTATTGGTATAAAGAGTAGCCGTGGTTGGACATGGAGTTGTTAATATCATTTAAGGGCGTGATCTCGTATGAAAATTCAAGCAGACGCTAACTTATAATATTCAATTACTTGTAGAATTCTGTTAGGTACCGCAGTTGGGGGAGGGGGCTTGGACAGTGTAGACAGTGCGCGCGGGATAGAATGCTAACATATACGTTTGTAATATTGTATAACAGATATAGAGAGAGAGAGACATATTTTAAGTGTTTAACGTGTTTTCAGTTATGTTTTGTTGGCTTATCTGACTGTAAAATCCTTCTTATCCAACATGTCCCTTTGTTTTCTCTTTCGTTCTTGTTTTTTCTCATGCTCCAATTTTTGCATTCTTTCAAACTCTTTGCAGTCTTTTATAATCATCCTAAAAGATTAACAATAATAACAATTAAATAAAGCGTTAAATGCATGAAATATTATTATATTTTTATAAAATTTTCTGGTTATAGCATTGTATTTTTTTTTTTACTATATTTTCAAATGATTTTTTATTAAACCATTTTACTTTGAAAAATATACCCTAAAATCAAACATTTTACATTAATCAAGATACCTTTAATTAATTAAAATTATAGTAAAGTACATATAACTAAGATAAGTCAAAAAGGTCAAAAAAATATATACATTTTATATATCTGAATATTTTAAAAATATTTAATATTTATATCTATATTGTCTTATAAACCAAATTTATCAAAAGTCTTAAAAACAAATTTTAATGCATAAAATACTATACATTTATGGACAAAGTCTTAAAAGTCTTAAAAATAATTCATAATGCATTAAGTACTACTACTTTATGCATTCAGTCTTAAAATCTTTTAATCTACAATTAAAATAACATATAGTACAAGATATCAACGCATATTATTACCTTTTCTTCTCATGTTCCCAAAATACTTTTGACATCTTTCACTCATGTCTTCACCCTCTCATACATTTATGTCTTCACCCTCTCATACCTCTATGTCTTCTTCTCATCCCCCAAGGTGAGATTCAAATTGATATTCACCATGAGTTATTAAAAGTTATCTCATTCATCTCCCGTTCAATTGCTCTAGAACTCTCGGTCTCGCTATCGATCTCTTGATTCTTTGCTCTTGATGTAAATCAAACACATTTGTAGGGTCGTTTAAACATGTTGGATTTTAGTTATATTGATTTTAAAGTGTCATATAATTTTTTTCATTGATAGACTGTAATTGGAACCATAAATCTTATTTATTTAAATTGTATTAATATGTAAAGATCAAGTGTAACTTATATCATCGTTAAATCTTCTCTAATAAAACTAGTAAAACTTCAAAATTGTTAAAATTTACGGTTTCCACCATATTACGCAGGTATACAACTAGTATATATGATAAGGGAAAAGTACAATAAAAACCAATGAACTTTCTTGTTTGGAATGATTAAGTCCTTGAACTTTTTTTTGGAACAAATAAGTCCTTGAACTTTCCAAAACATGTTAAATAAGTTCTTGGACAAATTTTTGATACAAATAAGTCCTTGGACATTCCAAAATATGTTAAATAAGTCCTTAGACATTCCAAAAAATGTTAAATAAGTTCTTGGACAATTTTTGGAACAAATAAGTCCTTGAACAATCCAAAACATGTTAAATAACTTCTTGAACTTTTATAAAACATGTTGGATACATTTTAATGACTTGTACAACTAGTTAAAATGGTAATTATTTGTTTGTAAATGTAAGTACTTTTTTGTTATATTTGTTTAATTTTATAGATCTAAATACTTTTTGGTTCAAAAAATATTTAGGGGCTCGTTCAAAATATGAATGTTCATTAGGTTTTTTCCGGATTTTTTTCACTATTTTACCACTTTATTTTTTTTAAAAAAGTTATTTAACATGTTTTGGATTGTTCAAGGATTTATTTGTTCCAAAAATTGTCCAAGGACTTATTTAACATTTTTTGAAATGTCCAAGGACTTATTTGTTCCAAAAATTGTCCAAAGACTTATTTAACATATTTTGGAATGTTCAAGGACTTATTTAACATGTTTTGGAAAGTTCAAAGACTTATTTGTTCCAAAAAAAAGTTTAAAAACTTAATTATTCCAAACAAGAAAATTCATTGATTTTTATTGTACTTTTCCCTGTATGATAAATGAAACTTGTACCACATTTATTTCTAGTGGAATACCTTGGCACAAATATGTTTATGCACCGAGAATCTTTATGACGACATATTTTTCTTCCGGTGGGGCCCGCCTTTTGATTGTAGCAATTAGAAGACCGAGGACAGATGGGTAATTTCATCCAGCAGTTGTTCAAGGAAACACACAAAAACAGAGGGGGAGGGGCAAAAGTCATCACTCTTTTTGGCTTTCTTCTTCGTCGTAAGCGGTGATGTTGCTTCAGTCATCCATGGAATCTTTTTGAAGAAAAGCCAACACCACCAACTCCCTCAGATTGTTCATTACACGTAACCCTAATTTCTTGATTCCCTGTTCCTTTTTCTATATTATTATAAATTTTTAATCAGGATTTCGTAATCGGAATCGGTGGTCTCATATTGTTATTAATTCCCCTGTATCTGTTGTGGTTGATCACATTTTCAGATACAATCATCAACAAAAAAATCAAAGGATAAAACAAAAAAAACAAACAGAAATGGTGTCTGCAAATAAGGAAATGGTGGTGTATTGCTTTGATACCCTGGTTGCTCACTTCAACGGCGAACAAGCCCCTCCTCCTGCTTTCGACGAGGGTCAACAGTAATTCACTCAATTTCTGTGCCTCCCAATAGATTCTTCATTTTCCATGGTTTTTATGGGGTTTTCTTCGTTGGTTTCAATGATCAATTGAAGCCCATATGGCTTGCTTTAAATGATTCCTATTTATGCCCAATTTGGGTGTTAGCTGCATCTGTTTCTTATGATCCTTCCCTTTAATTTACCGTTTTCAATTTCTATTTGACTTACTGGAATTCCTTCTATTTGGCTCTGTGTTTGTATGTTCATCGGTTATCTTCTTATTTCATCCTTTTAGCAACTTCAGTTATGCATAAATCATTATCAAAGTACATCTGAGTTTAAGAATCTTGCTGACCTTTGTTACATTTTGATTTCAAATTTCGACAATCGAGGGTTTGATTAGGGTGTTCTGGATGCTTTATGATTACAACATTCTTATATGCACATAATCGAAGTTGAAGTGCTCAAATCACTAGCAATACTTGATACATCTTCTAAGGGCCTTCTATCGACCGTTTAAAGTTGAATTCGATAAATAAAGAGTAGGGAGATAGGGATAGATTCGAGTCTTGGGGTTCTTAAAGTTGGTTCTAATCTTCAAGCTTCTGTTTTGACTTTAATCTTCACAAGATGCTGAATTTGATGTTGTGATTTCAGCCCATTGTTTGTCACTTGGAAGAAAGTTGTGAACGGTGGGGAGCCTCGTTTACGTGGATGCATCGGAACTCTGGAAGCTCGCTGCATAATAAATGGCTTCAAAGACTACGCGCTAACCAGGTTCGTTCCATATGAACTAGAATTAGCTCAACAATCCTAACATAACTTGTGCTTAGGGGGTTAAGGGTTTTCACAAGCTAGAGTCTTCACTGAAACAACTGTTTTATTCTTTGGGGCCACGGTCAGGTCTAAATACATTTGACCCAACCCAAATACGACAATTTTAGGTGCCATACTGGATTCGTTTGATTTGGTTTTAATTGAATGTGTGCATATCGATTGGGAGGTTAATGTATTTAAATGTGTTTTCTTGTCATAGTGCTTTGAGGGATCGACGATTCCCACCAATTCAGGCTAAAGAATTGCCATTCTTGCAATGTACAGTTTCCATTCTTACTAATTATGAAATCGCTGCTAACTATCTCGATTGGGAGGTATGCTGCTGTACTTTGTTTGAATCTTTTCGAGTTTCTTTGCATTATTGTTCTTAAACCCTCATGTTCAAATTGGGAGGTATGTTTCCACAAAAGAGGTTCTTAGCATCAACAATGGTGGGCTTTTTGGGATCCATTAACCACAAGGGTGGTGCCTGATTGGTTTGAGCTTGATTCCAAAGGTCAAAAGTACCGGGAGGTCCCAGGTTCAAATTCAAGGAGGAATAAAAATCCCCTTGTGGCTACGGAGGAATAAAAATCTTCTTGTGGCCACGGAGGTTCAAATGCGGTGACTCCGGGTTACCTGCAAAGCAGATGGTCGCCATGGGATTAGTCGGCTCACATAGCGGGTTGGATATCCAGGTTAATAAAAAAAATGGGATCCACAAGCCAAAAAACCAGCTGTGATTTTGTTTTCTGATGGAGTTTTTTCACAATCTCATGTGGTAAAAAGGGTGGATGTTTTTATAAGAATCTCTATTGCGGAAAAAGAATAGAAAAAAGAGGTTTTTACAAGAACCTCTGCTATGGATGCTCCAAGTCTCCCTTTTTAACCTTGTTTTCATGCCCTTCTCAAATTCATTCTATGTGGAAGGTTGGAAAGCATGGGATTGTAATCGAGTTCACTGACCCCGATTATAATACAAAGCGAAATGCCACATATCTACCGGAAGTGGCTGCTCAAGAAGGTATTTCTCGTGTAGGATCATATCATGTATTTCGATGTGAAGCACGAAGCATGAGATCAATCTTTTGCGACTCCAATTGCTAGCAAACGACAACGTAGTCCCCACGATTTCTATATTTTTGGTTTTTAGGTTGGACAAAGATAGAAGCCATCAACTCCTTGATGCGCAAAGCTGGTTACAGTGGCGCCATAACTGATTCGGTGAGGAAGCAGATCCAACTGACACGTTACCAAAGCACGCTATATACGATGCACTACGGCGATTTTGTGAGCTATGTGAAGGCAACTCGAGGCGTCGCGCCCTCTGTTCCGGGTCTCAAATCTTGTTAATCTACTCGACATATTAACTAATTGGAACCATACATGTGTTTGGTTCCATGGTAATTTGAAGAAGAAAAAAAAAAGTGACAAGGTTGCTTGGTCGGATCGGGTCGGATTCGACCCGCCCATGGCCGGCAACTGTTTGTCACCTTGTATCTAAATTAATTTTAAAACATGGTCGACTTTGATGAAAGTCGACCAATTATGCAATGTTACCTTATGTTGATGTGAAGATTAAGTCTCTTTTAATTTTGTGTGTTGCATGGCATTTAATTTTGATTTTGATTTTATTATAATGAAGTTTTTATTTCTTACTAGTGATACAAAATACTTGAATTTGATTTTTAAAAATAAAAATAAAGGGGTGTTTGGTTAGAGGTGTTAAACAGTAATAAATGAGAATGGAAATAAAAGAAATTGTTTGGTATTGTATAATATAATGGGTTCATTTTTCCAGAAGTCCAAAATTTCATTTCAGATTAAATTGGGGAAATGAAAATTCTTAACCATTTTCATTCTCTGTCATTTTCATTCCTCAACATGAACCAAACAGCTCCTAAAATGATCTAAATAACCATAATTTTAATCAATATGTTATCACTAATCATATGATTGTGATTATTGAACGTGGTAGGACAAAGTGTATTGAATTAGAACTCGGTTCGACTATGTTTTTATTTTGATGAACCGTTTTTTAAAAATTGTTTTGGTGTATATAAGAAGAGTCTAAAGGGCTGTTTATAGGACACTTTTTGGAGAACGTTATCAGTTATCAAAATGGATTGTTAGTAAACGTCTTAAACCTAATAATAATTTTCTTCTTTATCTACCGGTTAAGATTCTTGGTGTTTGTTGTACCTTTTAGTAGGTAAGATTCTTGATCATTATCATGTTGATCAGACAACGAGGTAAAGTAAGTGACATGCGGTAAGCATTTACCTTTGGTAAAAATCAAAGAATATTTTTTACATTTTTTTACGAAAGAGGTTGAAACATGAATATGAGTTTGACCGGGTGATTCTCTCTTGGACCCTTTCCTATGGTAACCCAACAATTCCATGATCATTAATCAGAACAACTTTTCTCTCTTCACTTTTGCTCAAACAGATCCCCAAAATTCAACATTAACAATGGCGATGCGATCCACAATTATCTCACGATCACCTCCTCTCCTTCATTTGATGCAGTCGTCCAATTCACGATTATCACTTTGTTTCTTCAGCGATCAAGGCCGCATCCTCGAAGACGAAGAACGTGCCCGTGAGAATCTCTACGTCAAGGTATTTATATATATATGTACGTGTTTGTTTATTCGTTGTATATACGGTTTGTAAATTGACGGTTGATTGATTGGGGGTTTCGTTATTGAAGAAAATGGAGAAAGAAAAGCTAGAGAAGCAGAAACAGAAGCTGGAAGCAAAAGAGAAAGCCGATAAAGAGAAAGCTGAGAAGGTATTATTTAATCTATAATGTCTCCAATTCTGTCTTATTGCTTTGATTGGGGGTTATGCCTTATAAAATCGAACCATTTTTGTTATTTTAGGAAGTTATTGCATAATTCGCCGTCAATATTGCAATGTTGATGGTATTGATTATGTCACAAATTTGATACATATGTTTTCACAATTGAAGTGATATTTCACACACTTCAGATAGAAGAACACTTCATTTTGGATGCATTTTGATGGTGATGTTCGAAAATTTTATAATAATCTGAAACTAATAATTATAATCAGAGTATATTGTTAAATCTGAATGTGATGGCATTAAGTTTTTCTTCTAAATTTAAATGTTAGTTAATTTATGAAGCAAGAAAACTAATTTGGTCTTCAAAAACAAAATGGTGTTTCGAGACAGACGAAGAGCCTAACTTGAATCGAAGTATAGATTACGACCATCTCATTCCAAAATAATACCATGAACAAACACAACATACAAATGAAAAATGTAATCCTTTACTTTAGAAAAATGTTGAATTATTTTATTTCAGAATGATGAGAATCTTCTTGCATTTATATTAACGGTTACGTAAACTCACAAAAGAGTGGTTATACACTTTATCATCTTGCTTCATACACTTTATTTTGAAGTATATAATGCTTATATACGGGAAATGCAACTCATACACGCTCCTCAACAAGATTGGAATTCTTGACCTCTAAAAAAGTTGGGTTACCCGATACCACGCTGCCCAAGATGCGCCAGGGCAATGGAGTAGAAATAGTTCAAAAGAGGGATTTATAATTGGAGTAGAAATAGTTCAAAATGATTCTAAGAGGGGAAGTTGAAGCTTAACAATTGTCTCTACATGTTGCTAGCTAGTAAAAAGCACAGATTGTGGTGTGACCTGGTCAGGATTTGAGACAGTTGTTCTAATGCTTGTTAAACTTGAAAGTTGGGAATAAAACGAGTAGATGTAGAGCATAGACAGAACACGGCATTGTTTGGCAAAAAAATAACTTGTTTTTTGAGTTTTCGTTTCGATGAACATATCAAATAAACGCTACTTGAAATAGCGTTTTAAGGGCTTTTTAACACTTTTTCCAATTATAACTCTAATTAATATTAATTCTTATTCATTACTATTAATTATAAATAAAAATTAAAGATTACTAATGTTAATAAATAGTAATTGAAAATTATTGATTAATTTTAATTATACATTATATATTAATATTTTTTTTAACAAAACATTATTATTGATCCTATCAAATATTTTTATATTATTAGTTTCATTAATCAATTATTATTCAATATCTTTAGCTATCAAAAAACAAATGTACAATTCTAAAAATGTTTATATAAATTAATTAAAAATTAAAGTTATACTTATTTTATCTCATAGATAATAAAACTGTGCTAAATAATTTTAATAGAATATTATAATTTAATTATTGATTATGGTTTTTTGAAAAATTATTAATTAGTTAGGATATGTAGCTTTTTTCTAAAATCTTTTTTTACAAATCAAAATTTATGATATATATAATAATCAAATAAAAATTCTTTTAATTAACATATTATATTATTTAATTTTTTATTATTATTTTATTTATATTAATTAACATATTATATTATTAGGATTTGTTCTAATTATATTACTAAATGTTGTAATTGACTAATTTTTCAAGATGTCTTCTTTTGTCATTCTACATTTTCCATCTAACTTATTAACTTATTAGTCACTCTACTTATCAGCCACACTAGCTTATCAACTAGTTTGCCAAACATAAGCTCATTTTATGAAATAACAATGGTGGTGACTTCTCTTACTATCTAGATGAGATTTGGGATCTATTGGATCTTTGCTATGTTTTTTTTGGTAACCGTGGGTGTCTGTGTTGGCTTGTGTGCACCTTGACTAATTTCACATGTTCTGGAGATAACAACCACGAAAGTCCCCAACGATCCGTAGGAGACTCGAACTGATGACATATAAGCAAGGGGCTCAAGGTTTGACCATTTATTTCCTCAAGGTTGAGAAACAGGAAACCCTTGGTGACCATGTAGATCGTTTTTAGTGCCTAATCGGGTTCCCTTTACTGTAAATGTTCAATAGTCAAGTTAAGGAAATGCATTCCGTTTGCTATCATCTTTCTTTTTTTGCTAATTCCAGAAGGACTTGATTCTTGGTTCCAATCATATCTTTTAATTACTTTTCAACGAAATTATTTTGGACCAAAAAGAAAACATATTGACCCTTATCAAGTTTCTTACTTATAACCTTATTCATTTATCTCTCAGAAACAATAAGAACGAAGGCGGTACTTGTAAGCTGAGATGGATCCTCCTTGATCGGCTTCTGACCCTCTTTACCTCAAAGTAGAATAAATGCGAGCTTGAAAACGGGATTTATTACGGCCTGCAACACGACTCATACGTGATAGATCAACGCCAATGGCGTTTTCTGTAATTTTTACTGTTCTTGCTTTTTGTTTTCCTGTTACTCCATTTTCTTTTTTTCGTTGTACAACTTCTGATTAACAATCTTCAGAAGTTGAGTGCATTGGAGATTTCATCACTTGACCCTGTTGAGATTATTATTTTTAAAAACTACCCGGAATGTGATGAAAGCATCGATATAAAAAATGTTTAGTGTTGGCCGTGTAATCTTGTTTACAAAATAGAGCTATGTTATTGTTAAGTAAACAAGGCTTCCTGATTTTTCCCATTTGGCTCAACTTAAAAGCCATAGACAAGCCTACAAACAACAACAAAGGTTAACTTTTTTGGACCATTTTACTTGATTTTTGTTATTGTATCATTTTCCCTCTTTTTAGAAAGATGATGGTTATGCAATGTATTAGTTAAAATAAATAAACATGTTATAGGAAACTATTTCACAGGTCTTTATTGGTTGAGATCCAATGAATTTAGGTGAATCTCATCCAACCTAATCATCTAATGGAAGTTGAATTTTGTCATCCGATTAGATCCAACCCAATTAACATTGTACATCCGATCTAATCCAGTGGATTGGTTCCATCCAATATGTTGATATAGTTTTTAACCAATTATTTATGTATTTTTTTAATTTATTAAAACCCACAACATATATTTATCAACTAAAAAAATATATCATATAATGTTAATAATTATATATGGTTTTTAATTGGATGGGTAATTGGATGGAATCGGTTCAGTCCAATTGGATTTTGGACGGTCATTCAAGAACTGACTAATCCAATTTGAATGTTGAAATTTTAGATCCGATCCAATTACAATCGGATATTTGATTATGGTCGGTCGATTTAAATTGGATGAGAGGATTTCCGAGATGCGATACTCCTACAATAAGTATTTCATGTATTATTCATCATACATATATTATTTTCATAATTCATGATATCATATATGGTTGTTGGTGAATTTTCGTTGGTTCTTATGATGCTACAAGACAACCGAAGAAATTTGGAACCATCATAAATCAATAATCCTTGGTTACTTCCATCAAGCTCTCTCTGTGTATATATATATATATATATGTTGACGTCTTTGCATTTCAAGAACAAGCAAACAAGCCTCAACTTTCAGTGATCATTTTATTTCCAACTCAAAGATGGCATCAAAGCTTAAAATCTTCATGTTACTTGCAGTTGTTTGTGCCACTCTCAACCTATCAATGGCTGGAGATCCCGACATCCTCACGGACTTCGTCGTGCCTTCTAATCTAGGCGGCCCTCTTGACGGAAACTTCTTCACATTCACCGGAATGAGAGCTCTTGTCGGGACACCTTTTCCCACAACATTTAAGGTATTAAAAGCAAGCATGGCTGAATTCCCGGCCCTTAACGGGCAGAGCGTTTCTTATGCAGTTCTCCAGTTTCCGGCAGGCACGGTTAACCCGCCCCACACCCATCCTCGGGCATCCGAGCTATTGTTTGTCCTCATGGGTTCATTAGAGGTTGGGTTTGTTGACACCACTAATAAACTGTTCACACAGACGCTGAAACAAGGCGATATCTTTGTGTTCCCCAAGGGACTCGTTCACTTCCAGTTCAACAACGATGCCAAGAATCCGGCTCTGGCCCTCTCGGCATTTGGCAGTGCAAATGCGGGAACTGTGTCAGTTCCTAATTCGGTTTTCAATACCACCATCGATAACCAGATCTTGGCGTTGTCATTCAAAACCGACCTTGCCACCATTCAGAAGATAAAAGCCGGACTTTCCGGCAAAATTTAGGCCTAATTATTCAACCATTTGTGCATCTCTTGCCTACGTTCCTAGCCACCATTGTTGTAGCTCATTATTTGATGAATAAAGTCTGATATAATTTGAAGAGTTATCATTATATTTTCTTTAAGACTGTTGACTTCGGTTTCTTAAAATCAGTTTCTAAATTTTGAGATGGAGGATGAATGTTTGTAATGGCAGCTGCAGCGGTTTACATATGTAATGGTGGTTCAGGGATGACAGGCGAATCGTAGTGGTGGTCAAAGGCGACAATGTGTGATGGTGTCGGTGGTCAATGGTGGTTGACGTCAACTTTGGTTGTAATCAGGAGGACTATGGCACTCGTGGTGATAATAAAGAGCTTTTATCGTCAATGATACCATCTTCTACTCCTAAGACTAACATGAACATTTTTCAAAGTAAATTAAGTTTTTAGTTCCTATGATTTGTTAAAAATTGTAACTTTCCTCGTTGTTGTTTTTAATTCATTGTTATTTTTGTTCTTATATATGACTTACAATTTATTATTGTTTCACTTCATATGATTTACAGTTTTTTACTGTTTTGGTCCCACATATTTTAAAAGTAGTACTTAAGTTAGGAACGAAAATAACAATAAATCGTAAATAATAGGTATAAAGAAAATGCAATTTTTAAACCATAAGAACATAAATCAAAATTTTTAACAAACTATAGGAACTAAAATTGTAATTTTTTTTAAAATTTCTAGTGGATTTTGTAAAATGTACATATTTTGGGACATTATTTCCTCGATTTCGACATAGAGTTGTAATTTTTTTTATTAACCTGGATATCCATCCTGCTATACAAGCCGACTAATTTCATGATGACCACCTGTTTTGCAGATAATCCGAAATCACTGCATTTGAATCTCCATGGCTAGAAGACGATTTTTATTTCTTATTGGATTTGAACCTGAGACCTCTAGGTACTTTTGATCTTTGGAGCGAAGCTCAAACCAATCAGACACCACTCTTATGATTATATAAAGTTATAATTGTAATCTTGTGTTAATTGAAAACAATTGTAAAAGGGACGTGTTTTGCTCTTATTCCCCTTCATTTTAGAAAATTGTATTACGTATTTAATACAATTAAACTAACATATTATAAATTTGCGGGAAAACCGACATTATAACTTTGTAAAAACAAAAATTCTTACTTAATAAATTTTTTGTTTGATATTTCATGTTATAGACATCAAAATAGAACTTTTAAAAATGGATTTTTCAAAATAAGAACCGAAACAAAATACATTCAATTTTCGTACAATTTGTCATTTGTAACACAATCCTTCTTAGTGCCAACGTTCAAGCAAGACAACATTAATCTACTTGTTGTCAAAACCCTTATGGCTATGGAGGTTCACTTGCTATGCGATGACTCTAGGTCCTCATGGTCGTGTTAGGATTAGTCGGTGCACGTAAACTCACCCAGATACTTAGAGTTACCGGAAGAAACCAACAACAATGCTTGATTTAAGAAATTGATAAAATATATAACCATCATAAACTTGGGACAAAACCAGCTGCACAAAAGTACAGACACAGTTGTTTCTTCGAATGCTCAGATCATTATACAGCATCCAAGAACACACCAAGTATATGCTCAACATTTCTTAGGGACGTCCGTATGGGAATCTTTAAAAAATCAGTTACTATAAAATTGAACCCTTCTTTATCAACCTTATCAGAACCCAACCCATAAACTTGAAATGGCATCCATTAAAACTCTTCTATGCATCGCAATGGTTTCCTTTTTGGTAATTCAAGTAGTGTTCTCCAGCGACCCCGACATCCTAACCGACTACGTGTTACCAGAAAACACCACTGTAACAGACCCAAACTATTTCACCTTCACCGGGTTGCGATCAGTTTTCAACGCCACCTACCCGACAACTTTTACACCCGTCAAAGCTACCCTAAACGAATTCCCCGGTCTCCTTGGCCAAAGTGTTTCCTATGCGGTTCTTGAGTTCCCTGTGGGGTCCCTTAACCCACTTCACATCCACCCTCGTGCCACCGAGCTTCTATTTGTAGTCACGGGCTCACTACAAGTCGGGTTTGTGGACACCACCAACAAGCTTTTCACACAGAAACTTGAAACCGGTGACATGTTTGTGTTTCCTAAAGGACTTGTTCATTATCAGACTAACTTCAACACTAGTGAACCAGCCTTGGCGGTTTCGGCTTTTGGGAGCGTGAGTGCAGGGACGCAGTCTATTGCGAATAGCGTCTTTAATAGTACCATTTATGAAGGGATTCTGGCTGAGTCGTTTAATATTAGCGCAGACGTTGTCGAAAGGATCGAGTCTGGGCTCAAGGGCTAAGCATCAAATGATGATTTTTTGTATGGTTAATCTTAAATGTTTGCTTTCTTCCATAAGATTGTTCCTTGAAATGTGAAAATAAATGTCGATAGTGAAATCTATGATACAGAAACCGAACATTCGTGCAGAGTTATTTGAAAGAATCAAGAACTGAGCCAGATCTGATTGCTTTAGGCATTCAATCTTAGGTGCCGTTTACCAAACGCTTATCCGGGTAAGCGCTTACCAAGTAACATTACCTCACCGGATAAATATAGTAAGGACCAAGAATCTTACCCGGTAAGAGCGAGACAAGGATCAAGAGTCTTACCCGGTAAGTGAGGGCGACGACTCTTACCATGGTAAACGCTTACAGGGTAAATTGTTGTATACTTTGTCATTTTGTTGGATTAAAAATCTTACCCTATAAGTACATAATAGTATTAAATTTTACTGTAAACACTTACAAATTAAGTGTTTGATAAACGGCCCAAATGAGAATTGACATTAACGATCGTGATTGATCTTCGCAACAGTAATGGTAAAAAAAAAAACTTGTAAGAATTCATGGAATAATTTGTAAATACATATTATAAATAATATACAATAAGTAATTAATTTATTTAATGAAGATTTTTTAAATAAAACGACAAATTTTTAATTAATAAATTTTATATTAAAAAATATTAATTCAAATAACATAAATTAAAAAAACACAAATAATATTAATTCTCTGAGTTAGTAAACTCGTCCCACAAATGATCATTTAATGTATTACGAAGTTCAAAATAAGCATTTTTATCCTTGATCATTTTGTGTAGAGCAAGAAAACTGTTCAAGTCGACAATTGTTATCGTTCGTCATCTGACTCCTACGTCTTGCACTTCACCTCATTCTTCAATTGGTGTATTAATATCACATTCATCCTCTATGATCATATTATGCATAATGATGCACAAATTCATTATATCATGCAATATTTCATTCCTTCATAACCGTGCAGGTCTTGCTACTATTGCAAATCTTGATTGCAATATACCAAATGCATGTTCCACGTCTTTTCTACATGCTTCTTGTTTCTTTGTAAAATATTGTTTTCTAGGGCCATGTAGATCGTGAATAGATTAAACAAGAGTGACCAATTTTGGATATATGTCATCAGCTAAGGATCAGAATATCAAGGATCTCAATATAGATCATCTCAACGTCAAGGATTTGGAGAAAAGGGAGTTCAAGACCAAGCCGAAGAATCTCAGAACGTAGTAGAAGAGAGAGTTCAAGTATTTAGGTGTCCCGTATATATATATATATATATTTTGAAACTACATTAAGTCAATAATAATACAAGTTTGTCTTGACATAGTTGGTTGGATGACTTTTCTCCCATCCTAGGCATGGGTTCTATTTTCGTTTCAATCATTTTTTTTTAAATTTTTGGCTGTTAATTTGGGGGTTTATTATGTTTTTGAAAAAGATTACGATAAAACACTCGAATAAGTTACATATGAAAATTTAGTAAGGAACTAACCAACAAATCAATAATTATTTTTAGAAAAATACCCATAACTTTGTTTTTTTTTTTTTGAAGTCAAATGGTGTTGTCACTCGAAAAAATTCCTGTAGATCCGTCTATGTGCTAGATGTCGTTATAGCACGACCACCTTGGGACTTCTTGAAAAAAATATGTGTTTGCCATTCGTGCATACCCTTCTTTTCTCATGAACGCTTCAAACCGTTCTTGGTCTATTTTGTCCTTGTATTCATGCCTCATGGGACTAACAAAGACAATAGCCAACTTCTTTAGACGAGGGTTTGTATTGTAACGGATATCTTTCTAAGCTCTTCCATTGTATATGCAGCCTTTTGATAGGTGAAGGGTATGTATATGTCTATGTATATGTAGACTTGGGATCATGTGACACCAAAGCTTTTTTGTGAGACCCGTAAGACCAATTCTTAACTCTTGGATTAGATCTACAATATGACAATCTGAACATCCATAAACGCCACGAGACTTCTCAATAATCACAAAATTGTCGCCGTGCAACTTTAGGCCATTAGATCATTAGCTTATAAAGTTGATCAATGAACATAAATTGGTCTTATGGATCTCACGAAAAACCCTTGGTCTCACGTGAACCCAACTCTGTATATGTATATGTAGACTTGGGATCATGTGAGACCAAGGGTTTTTCGTGAGACCAGTAAGACTAATTCTTAACCGTTGGATATCTACAATTTGAACATTTATAATCACATAATTGTCATGAGACTTCTCAATAATCACAAAATTGTCACCGTACAACTTTAGACCATTAGATAATTAGTTTGTAAAGTTGATCAATGAACATAAATTGGTCTTACTGATCTCACAAAAAACTTTTGGTCTCACGTGAACCCAACCTTGTATATGTATATGTATATGTATATGGAGAGAGAAGAGGGGGCAATTGAGCATTGATTTTTTGGAGGGGTGTTGATCTAATTAAAAAGACTTATGGTAAAAATTTATAAATAATTTTTAAAATTTTAAATAAATAAAAACTATCAATAATATATTTATAGAATCTTTTTTCAAACCATGTAATGAATAATATTTAAGAAAATGAGAGTTCATTTATTATAACTTAGATATCAAAAAAAGATATTTAAAGTTCATTTATTATCATTAATGTTAAAATTTTATGTAACATAATATATTCATTAAAATAAAGGGCAAAATGCATAAAATAGCAATCTACTTTCATAAATTTCTTTATTATAGCATTGTACTTTCAGTTTTTCTTATTACAGCAATGTACTTTCAAATTATTTTTTATTAGGACATTATACTTTGAAAAATTTACCCATTATAGCATTGGGTAACCTTTTGATTTAAATTTACCCATTATACTAGGTTTCCATGCCACCTCATTGTCCACGTAGGTTGTCCACATGTACTACAGTGATGTGACTTTCTTACTACATCATTGTACTTTCAAAATTATTTTATTATAGCATCTACTATTTCTTATTAAACACTGTATTTTTAATTTTAATATTTAGATATTTTACATATTTTTTTAATAAATGTATTAAATGAATTAAAAAAATTCTAAATTATTCATTAATATACCAATATCAATAAAACTAGTAGAACACAACTTATCCCGCTAATATTTTTAAAAAATATGTGTTTTTTGAAAAAAAAGAAAATAAGAATTGTTCTTTTTTTACCAAAAAATATTATCTTTACTTGACGAATATATTATATTTGTTTAAAAACTTTTTACTTGACGTATAAATATATTAAATTAATTAGATTTTTTTGAAGTATTTATTAATATAACAATATTAAAAAATTGTAGATAACAATTTATTTCGTTAATATTTTAAAGAGAACTTTAAAAGATATGTATTAATTTGAACAACGTAAAATAGGAAAAGTTGTCTTTTTTACAAATAAAATATATCTCGAAAATAATGTTGCATATTTATTTAATAAATATTTTACTCTAAGAATATTTAATTTAAATGCAACCTAATAAGAAAAAGTAAAAAAAAATGGTTTTTTAGATAATAGCAATGAAAAATGAAAATCACTAATAATAATTTGAAATATGTTTTTATTTYAATTWTAGTTAAGTCATCAAAATGATGTGTCATCCACATCACCTCATTAAAGCCACACAAGCAAAAAAGTCAAAGGGTTAACCGGTTTAAAAGGTAACAGGTTACCCATTGCTATTATGAGTAGATTTTTTAAAGTACAATGSYTTAATAAAAARTAATTTGAAAGTACATTGCTGTAATAAAGAAAAACAAAAGTAGAATGTTATAATAAGAAATTTTGTGAAAGTAGGTTGCTATTTCATGCATTTAACCCTAAAATAAATGAACGGATTAAGGTTGATTTATATGGTTTGTACTAATTAGGAGAGTTGGATTCTATATTCATATTCTTATTATGCACACTTCCCCCTAATTGGTGGTGGCAAACTAATTGGAGGACGGTGGCCGGAGAAAGAAGAGAGGAGGGAGGAAAGTTTTAAAATACCAAAAATATCCTTGCATTAATATTTTAATTCAAAATTGTCAAAATTATAAATTTTCTAATTTATCTATTGATTTGTGGTTAATATTGTTCTTACAGTTAGCATAAACTAATTAGTTCTCATTTGATTAGGCCCCTATATATATATATATATATATATATATATATATATATATATATATATATATTTTAAGATACATAAGAATAGATGTACAACCAAACAAATAGAACGAAAAGTGGGCATATGCCAAGAAGGTCCTCACACTAATATTTGTAACACCTTCAAAATAAAACCTCAAATAATAAGCAAACTTTAGCTATTTGTGGAATTTCCTAAAATGGAAATATTTGACTTGCTATAATTGATTGGTCTATGCAAACATGTGCTTAACTGTCACATTTGAATTCAAATGCAAATAACCCACAAATGACCAACCTCAACAACAAAAAAGTCATCCATAACTAGCATAACTCGATATTAAAACTACAAGAAAAACTAAGTTTTAGTTAAAAAAAAGAAATAAGACATTGAACCACTAGACCACCTTAAAGTAAGGATGGTGATTTGCCCGGCTCACTTGACCCGAATGGGGACAGAGATTCCCCACTAAAACGGGTCTTGGGGTTGGGGTTGGGGATCCCTGGTACACTCAAACGGGAGTTGGGGCCAGGGACGGGTATTGTACCCTCCGCCCTGCCCTATACCCGGTATACTAAATATTCATTTAATAATATTTGGGCTTTGAAAATTCTGATAGTGGGCCTCTGTTGCCATTGGATTTCAAGAGTATTTGTATTAGAAAACATGGAATTGGATCGGATCAGGGAACGAGTCTTGAGTCGAGGACCGGGGACTGAGGTTTGACTGAGATTTGACCAGGGACGGGATGTTAATCCCCGTATCTGCCGGGGTCCGAGGTCGGGGCTGTTACTAATAACCAGGACCAGGGATTACAAAACCCCCTTCATCCCCGTCCCATTGCCATATCTACCTTGAAGCATAGAACACAAAATTTGGCACCACAAAAACAGCGAAAGCATTTACACACTGAAAAGACAATTTGTTAATATCAGGCATTCGAGCTTCAACTTACCACTTATATATCTCCTAATTTAAGAGTAAATTTCAACGTTCAAAAAAATCTCAACCAACTTAATATTGGGCTTCCTAGTAGATGTGGTTTATGGGCTTGGGCTTTTCTTGTGGGCCTTAATAAACTTTTCACCCTTGACCATCTAATTTTTTAAATATACTTGTTCTTCAAATTTGTAACTTGTTTGGCCCCTGAATCCACCAATTATAAGTAACATACGCATGTAAATACACACGAACCCTAAAACAATAACTAATATACAATAAGCCAAACAACATTGTTTCACATTCGAAACTTCAACTATAAGCAAAACTAGTTATCATACAACCGATGCCAAAAGAATTAGTCACACGGTTTTGAGACGAATATTTTCCCGTCATCTATAAACGGAAATCTTTTTCGAATCCAAATGCAATAGCATTTTGATGACTTGTATATCATGTAATAAACGTTGTAAAGGAAAGAGGGCTACAAATTCTTTAGCACCTTCTCAAAAGTCTAGCTGAAAACGATGAGAAAAATGGTGTTTCAATAAAAGAAATAGAAACCAAACCCTAGAAGCTATGCAAAAACCTCTTAAATCCTATGCCTGAAAACTAAGAAAGGAGAGCGTTTGCAAATTGTGGTGACGGTTAAATAGAGGGAAAGTTTGTACGATTCTAGATTAATCACACTAATAAGATTGGTTTGTCCAAGATTTTAGTTATCAATATTGATACACGGACTGAGATGGTGGTGGTGGTGGTGGTGCTAGTGGTGGTCGTCGTGGTGCTAGTGGTGGTACTATTCCTCCTTTGTCGCCGACTAAACTAGTGGATGACGTTGGCTGCATGGCAGCATTCGCGGTGGTGATATCATGGATGCTTGATCTCTTGCGTTGTTTTTTTATGGTCTTCTGACGGATAAAATACTTCTGGGCATGGCTGGCGACTTGTGTTGGCGTCCTTGTGATCACCGAGTGTCTTGAAATGCTCCGCCAATCCCCTCTACCGTATTTCTCCATTCCCACCAGAAAACTCCTGCCAATATGTCAAGATCAATCACATGAACCTAAAATATCAAGAATCAACTTCTTGAGTTGAAAGGTCAAAGTCAAACTATCAATATGGAATCACTAAATTGAATTGAATCGATCCAATTTCTTAATTACGGTCAAAACTAAAACAGATTGAAAGCATTATTAGAATACATTAATCACAAGATGCTTAAAGTTGATAAACCCATACGGCATTAATTCCTGTTGTAGAAAAAACACATTGACCACAAAAAGTCAAATTCGTACCCTTTTCTTGATACCCATATCCATCTGATCGAATCTGAACACAAATTAGAACTCATAATCGCAATTTTCTTCAAGAATCCCATAATTTGAATGATTATGATCATGAATTATAAAGATGCAATCAAGAACTCAAGAATCGATGAACACTAAATAACTTAATGGAAAAAATGAATCTCCAAGTACCTGTGTTCTGATTCAGTCCATGGAGTCCCTTTCTTCCTCTCGGGGCCTTCTCCAGGTTTAGAACCCTTCCCTGACTCAAACGAGATCTGACTCGTTTTCAACTCAGAATTCCAACTCATAAAAGAGTCCCTTCCATAATCATCTCCGTAATAAGGGAATTCAATCCGACCTGATTCAATTTCTTCTAAATCGCGCATCAACTCCTCGTAGTGAGCCCTCACCTCCTCCACCGTCTTACCTGGAACGGCGTCGGCTATCATCTGCCACCATCCGGAAATACCCACCGGAACATCCACCAAAGCCTTCTCAAACAGCTTGTCTTCATATCTCGTCCACGTTGACTGCATCGCCGGCGGTTTGATGCTCACTTTGGTCTTCTGATGGTACGTAGTTGAATCGAAAATCTTGGAGCTTTGTTATCTATCTGGGTGTTTCTCTCTCTCAATCGTTATCTACAATTCTAAATTTTCTTGATTTATATAGTTGAATTTGGGTGAGGATTTTCCGGGATTTGATTTTTTTGAATGACTTCCCTGAATTCGAAAAAGACGGGTGAATCTTGTTTATATGTTTAAAATAAATCATTTTATTTTTATTTTTATTTTTATTTTTAAATTAATAATACGACAAAATAATAATAAAGTATTTTATTTTGTTGGCCATCTTTAACATAAATTTGAAACCAAAATCCACGTTTATAATTCATGACAGCGACCTAGTCATGGAAATCAATTTGGGTTCGTTTATCAAATCCTTACTTGGGTAAGTGTTTACCAAATCATATAAAAGCGAGACAAGAAACAAAAGTCTTACCTGGTAAGTGAACGGGATGACTCTTATCACGGTAAGAACTTATCAGGTAAATTATTGCATATGGTGTTGTCTTGAGTTTTACCCATAAACACTTATCGAGTAAGTTTTTGGTAAACGACGCCTTAGTATATGTCCCAATATTTCATATATAATGTTGGTGATTTTTATCAGAATCATTTATTATAACAAAAATATATATATATATTTATTTAAGGGTAACGTTTCTCTGTTAAACAATGTTGTAATCTTTTGTATTTTATTTTTTGAAAATATTATTAACATGGTCAAAAATGATAACAAGAATTCTTAGTAGGAGCAAAACTAAGCAACTTTATATGTTCTTGTTGAAACGTAATTTGTAACTCGTTATCTCTTATCTAACAGACAAATATTTGGCTCATATACCCTAACTTTTATAGTGTTCTATAACAATACATACTTTGAAATTGATATATGTGCACCGAATGATGTGTCGCAATGGTGTAGTTTGATTAAATGTGTTTATGTATAATATTTCAGTTTAAACTCACATATGATTTGAGTTTTTTTCATTTTTTCTTACTGTGATAATGTTGAAATAAACAAATTAATATATTTTTATTACTTTAAGTCTCGATATTTTAGCATCTTCAATGTGGAATTCTTATAAACAAAAAATATAGATTCTTAAAAGAATCACAATTAAAAAAGGGTTATATTAAAAACCTTACAACATTTGAATGACTTTGGTTCTTACTTTAGACTTTATATGAAATGGCTTTTTGTTATTTTATATATATATATTTTATTGATTTTATAGTTATTTATGAAAACCTATAAAATATTTTTTTATAAGAACATTCGTTAAAGATGCTTTCGTTATTCATATAAATTTGTTTTCCAAAGTCAAAGATATTATTATAATAGAGAACGTTTCAAATGTAATCTATCACATTTGCACAATCTAATTAATTGAGATGTTTATGAAAATTAGGAGAATTCTTTTATTATAATTTGAATAATTATGAAAAAATAACTAAAATTTATTAATTATGATCAATGTTTTATATTATAAGACAATAAAAATATTTATGAAATTACATATTAAACATATTTTAAATTATGTTGCGTTGGTTGTATAATATAACAGGTTATGATCTATTAATATAATCATGTATCGGGCGAGTTCAGAGGAATCCGAGTTGGAACACAAGGGGATGACGTGTAGGTTGTGGGCAATGCTAGAGTGACATGTGCTTTTCAGAGTGGGACGTCCGCCACCGTCTTTAAAGATACGACAGCTCCCTTTTTTGTAGTTTACACCGGAAAGCTGTGACACACCAACCAAGCTGTCACTTTAATACAGCAGCCGCCTCAACCAAACCAGCTAATTTGTCCTTCCCCATGTTTTCAATACTGGTCCTTTAGTTATGCACTAGATAACAATCTTAATCCCTGTATTAAATTTTGTTTCGTATTAAGTTCATACTCTTGAAATGCCGATCATTGTTCTCTTTCACTTTTCTTCCACTTCAGCCATCTATTCAGCAAGAAAGAGTCGGGTTTCATAAATAAATTGGCTTGACCCGAAAATATAAATGTCAAGTTAAATTAGACGGTAAAAAACAACATAAAAAAAGACTAGTCAAATCCTAGTAAACCTAGATGATACCTAAGCCTAATGTGATTGGTAATTTTCAGACCAGACCATATCATCATGCCACTCGAACCGTAAAAAACAATCCAATTTGACTTTGTTCGATTGGTTAAGCGGTCTAACGGTTTTTTTAAACACCCTATGCAAAACTAGTATACATCACTAAATGTTTTGAAATCTTTGGATAGAAAATGAAGTGTAAGGACTGTATCTGTTATTAGCTTATTGTTGGAGGGGCAAAAAAACAAAATAAAATCAACGGAAGGCGTCATCTCCGTACATCGACGTGGCCTTCAATATAAAAGCCACATATTTGCACGTGCTAAAAAGCATCCAATTTAGAGTTTTGGATAACATGAAGTGCCAGGTCACGTTATTGAGCTACAATCAAGTGTTAGTCAAGCCCACCATTGGAACTATTTTGACTTAAGTTAGGAACTATCGATTAGAGGTATATATGGGTAACGTTTTAATGTTTTTGAAGGTCATATTATATTTAAATTTTTTATTATATTACATAATATAAATAGATAATAATAATAATATTATTAAACATAAAAATAGGATAAAATTAAATGATTAACAATTTAAACCTAAACCAAAATTATTAATAATTTGAACCTAAAACTAAATAATCAATAATTGAAATCTAAACAATTTTGGTTATAACTTTACAAGATTGATAAAAAGATCATAAACATATGTAAAATTGGACTTGAGTTTTTGGGGGTTCTGTTCAAAATTTCACATTTAACATGCTATGGACAGCTTTGTTAGTCGTGTTGAAGATATTTGAATAATTTAACTTAATGTTTGTGATTTAGAAAATCAAATCTAATCCAACCCAAGTAAAACTATAATCCAACTCAAACTGTGTGAGATTGGTAGAGTTGGTCGGGTTGAAACTTTGATACTTCATGAGAACATACAAAAATACTAACCAACTCAAAAAATATTAAAAATTCATGTAAATAAGAAAGTGAAATTATGGTTGAAACTGTAATATAATTTGGATGTAGTTAACTACGGATTGGTCTAATGTCTAATATACATATATTAATCAAGAATATAACAATTATACTAAAATCATAGTGTAGAAAGGCATCGGGTTCATCGAGGTTGGGGCGTACTCAAATTTACACAACCCCAATTTCAACCCAATAGATATAGTTTGACCTAATTTTGTATCAATTATGTGTTGGGTTACTTTGGATTAAGTTATTTTGGGTTTTTTAATTGAGTTGACCGAATTGATCAGTTTTTTAAGCACCCCTATAATAGACTATTCAACAATTTTTTTAACAATTTCTTTAACATAAAAAAATTTCAAAAAAAATTATATTTGATTTTAAAAACATTTTAAAAATATCAACACTAATTATATTATTAAAATATTTTATAATTTAATCATCTTGATATATTAAATTAAAACTAATATAAATTAATAATAATTCACACGATAAATCATCCTAGTACCATTTTCGATGTAATATTATGAAAAAATGTCTTATGAAAATGTCTTAAAAACTATTTACTTTTTTCATAACGATATTAGATATAATAATAATTGTTAATCGTTCATGAGCTCCCTTTCCAAAAAGTTAGATAAAACCAAAAAAAAAAAAGTCAAATGTGCGGGTCATAGTGTGACTGCATGAGGCATAGACAATCATTTGCTTGGTGTATGTCTGTAAGGTACAACAGAGCAGAGCGAATATTTCTGGTTGAGATCCATTCTCGTCAATGCGGCTCGTCCGAAAAAAGAAAGATGTACGAACGATGACTTTTTTAGCACATTATTTTTTTTGTGGTTTGTTATGTTGAAAACTTAGGTTTGTGTGTTATGTGAAACCAATAATAGACCTAGTAGCATGCTAATTTCCATGATGACATATGTAATAATATCATGAAAAATATCATCATCAAGATGAAAATCAAACGTTCAAAAGACGTTATTGAATTGTACACCATTTTCATTCATTTATTATCAAAAAATTTATCAAGGTGTTGGATCCTCCACTGGCTTAGGGCCCCTTTAGTAGGGAGCAGAATCGGTAGGTTCYTTGAACCAAAAGAGAAAGGGAAAATATTGGCCAATTTCACACAGTGTACGAGGTGAATGAGGGGCTACTTAATGAAAAGAGAAACCAGTTCTACTTTAGGTTTATAAAAGAGGAAATTTTAAATTCGATTTACCAAAATAAAAGTTCTGAAAGTTGGTTGTATAAACAGAGGCAAAGGCTTTGTGTCTTTTTGCTGAGTTTGCATTTTCTTGTAATAATTATGTAATTTAAAGTCCAACCCATTTTTTTATGTGATAAAAGATATTATTTATAATTTTTATTTGAAACCATGAAAAGAAATCAAACTAAGGAAAAAATCATTTATTCCGTTCAGCGTTTTACATGGTTTAGATATGGTTTATTGCTTGCTTTGTCTGATCTGAAACAAATCATTTTCATCTCCATTATTATTTAAGAGTATTTATGAGTCCTTAACGAGAAGTTGATGGATAAAAGTAAGTTTAGGGAGTAAATCAACGGTGTATGTTCATTTAAAAACAATGATAATGAAGTTGATATGAATCCCGATGACTCGTTCATCCAACATCGGATATCTGCCCTGGTCTTGCTTTACTTCCATCCCAAATCCGTCTCTGCCCTGCACCAAGAGCAAGTCGTCCGTATTCATCCCGATATTACATGTTTCAAAATAAATAATAAAAATCCTTAAAAACTTGTTTTTTCTTATAACTCCCCAAGTCCACAAGATCGGTAGAAGTAAGACAAAGTATGCTTGTAAAGTGTAAATTGAAAAAAGGATGTCGATCAGAACTAGAAAACAAAATTTAAATAATAGAAAAAACAACTTACAACTTACAATCTATGATGTTTTGTTGTAAAAAACATATCATTTGATGGTGAGATTTCTTACGTGTAACCGTAATTCGTTGGTCTGGATTAAAGTTGTTTTCAACTCCAAAACTGGCTTGGTTTCAAGATGTAGAATTCTATGTTGAGTCATCACTTAGCGAGGTTGCGAGGA